CCATCCCGATATAGAACAGCTCCCTCCTCCGAAGCCGATCGATCAAGATACCGACTCCCGTGTCCAGGTGTTCGCTGCTAACACTCTGTCTATGCGGTTTAAGGTTGTCGATTTGATCAACCGCACCGATAGTCTTCAGGACTACCAGCAGGTCCTGGACCTCGGTAACGAACTTGAAAGAGTCTTTGAGGATATAAGATACATGGTCCCAACAACACACTCGAACGATATGTCAGAGGTTCGGCGACGATGGATGACACGAGTTGTCTTAGATATGCACTGTCGTCGGCCGCTATTAGCATTGTACCGGCCCTTCGCATTGGGAAGCACGGATGTTCCCCAGCAGATCGTGACAGGATATTTAAGATCGTCAATGGTATTACTTTCGTACTTGGATGAATTGGATCCTGCTTCTCCTGATTATCACCGTATTTGGCACCTGCACCAACTGGTACTCAAACAAGAGATTCTCCAGGCTGCTTTTAGCATATGCTATTACATCAAACAAGCTACCAGCAGTTCCGCTTCGCCGGCGCCGTCAGATCTAGATTCGAATACCAAAGCAGAGTCCATCGAGGAAGCGTATGTCACTGCCTCCGAGAGTTCGCTCTTGCTGTCTCTCCCGCGGCTCAAGAGCGCGGTACAAAACGTGTTAGATACGCAAATCAAAAGAATACGAGAGATTGGGACGGATTTAAGGGATATAGTATCGCTTACCGTCGTGTTCAACACTTGTCAGGGTGGAACTCCAGAACAGAAGCGAGACGCCATCGCAAACGGCTTGCAGGCAATCCTTGACGCAGGCCTACAAGCGATACATACGAACCAGGAAAATATTGCTTCGATGCCGGTAAGAGATATTTAGCAACCTATTCCCACTCTCTTATTAACCTTTTCTAAATAGATTATGCCGCCGACGGTACCAATGCAAATGAATGGAATGCAAACGGATTCGGGCTTCATGAGCCACATGCAGCCTTTTATGACGGCGCCGGATGCCCTTAATTCTGTAAGTTTGTCACAACTCCCTGGCGAATGTACGAGACTAATTGTTTAGTTGCCGGATGACTTTGCTGCGATGTGGGATATGGAGTTCTGGACTCCTATACTTCAACCTGGGCCGTCTTAAAAAGCTCGCTTTACAACTATATGACTGAATTAACCCGGGTTTCCCCAGAGCTATCTGCCATCGACCTGGTACGATGAATGCGCTAGGGGTGCTAGCTAATGCAAATTCGTTGAAAGCCTAGACTTCGAACCGCAAAGCCTATTGCTTGAAACCATTTTGATACGAAAACTCCCATATACATAGCAGGGAGCCGAAGCGTAGCTAGTCCACTCTGTCTGACTAGCAACATGAACCGATACTCTTGTCGACGGCAAGGATACCAACTGATGTAAAAGACGAAGTCAACATCTTGGTACATTTCCTAACCACAGCCGACGCCCGACCTCGTATTCACGTTATGCCGAAAATACATATAAGCCCGGCCGCGAGAAACCGGCACATATCTAATTAAAATTATAATGACTGCTCTCTAGCGTTTTTTGAGCGGATGACCGTGATGTTGATAACCGCAGCAGATACTGTTTTTAGCAAGGGCGAGAGTTAGCGAACCGAAAATACAGGGAGCGAATTAAGTGTGCGGCCAACAGAACAGCAAGGGGAATATTGTCACCTAATATGAAAAGAAGGGTTAATAGAAAAATTGTACCGACTTGAAATTCAAACACTTGGATGCAATCGATAACAAGGTTCGAGAACTATGTATGTATGTGCTACATAGTCTATACTGGTTTAGGTAGTGCCTCGGCTACATATATGTACATACATAGGTGGGTAGCCGTTTTAGGTACCTAGGCCCCGCATAACCGGGGTCCTATACTACCTAATACTCCCCCACATCTGGGGATGTCCCGTTCAGGGAGGGAAGAACGTTCAGATCGTGCGGCGTAGTGTGTAGCTTCCAGGTTACTGTTTATATAAGAAAATAGCCGAATTTAATTTAATGACGGCACATTTTCAACCTCAACTCCATCCTCCGAAACGTCCCACTTGGCGTACTACCTACCTACCCTACGGGATATACCCTTCTGCGTTACGCTACCTATTCAACGAGACAGACCGGTTACTAAATATCATATCGCAGCATCTGCATATCCTACTTATACGCACATTTAATCTTTCAAAGGTGAAATTAATTTCAAGATGCCCGCCAAACAGAAGCAGCCCGTGTACGTGCTCGGCGTGGGCATGACCAAGTTCATCAAACCCCGCGGCAAAGTTGACTACACGGAGCTCGGCTTCGAAGCCGGTGTCAAGGCCATGCTCGACGCGCACATCAACTACGACGACGTCGAGCAGGGCATCGCGTGCTACTGCTACGGGGACTCTACCTGCGGCCAGCGCGTCTTCTACCAGTTCGGCATGACTCAAATCCCCATCCTCAATGTCAATAATAACTGCTCTACTGGCTCTACCGGCCTTTCGATGGCTCGGAACACCATTGCTTACGGCGGCGCCGACTGCATACTCGTCGTCGGCTTCGAGAAGATGATGCGCGGCAGTCTTCAGAGCTTCTTCAATGATAGGGAGAATCCCACGGGTACCTCGGGAAAGATGATGGCGGAGACCCGCGGCTATACGAACGCCCCCGGCGCCGCGCAGATGTTTGGTAATGCTGGCCGGGAATGTACGTAATTTCAAGCCATCTTTTGCCCCTTTTGCCCCTTTTGCCCCTTTTTTCATATATCTAAGGTGTAAGAATCTGGAGTTCAACTAAGCATAATCACTCCCACACTATGTCTAAGCTACTAAATTTAGATGCGAACCATTGCTGACATCTATATACAGACATGGAGAAGTAGGCATAGCCCTTCAGCCTCTACACTATAGCAAGTTATATTTGCTGTGGATAATTATACTAACTGCTCATCGCAGGTTCGGCGCCAAACTCGAGGATTTCGCAGAGATCGGCAGGATCAATCACCAGCACTTCGTCAACAACCCGTACTCCCAATTCCAGGACGTCTACACCCTGGAGCAAATGCTCAAGTCACCCATGATACATGAGCCTCTCACCAAACTACAGTGTTGCCCTACGTCGGACGGTGGTGCCGCCGCAGTCCTAGTCTCACAGGACTTCCTCGATGCCAGGCCGCACCTAAAGGACCAGGCCATATTGATCGCGGGCCAGTGCATGGCAACAGACTCACCGAATCTATTCTCGCGCAGCGCGATAGACCTAATCGGCTTCGAGATGAGCAAGCACGCGGCCGAGGTGGCGCTAGCTGAAGCCAAGGTTTCGCCGGCCGACGTCCAGGTCGTCGAGCTACATGACTGCTTCTCGGCCAACGAGATGGTAACGCTAGACGCGCTAGGCTTATGCGAACCCGGCAAGGCGCACGAGATGGTGCGCCGTGGTGACATAACCTACGGCGGCAAGTACGTCGTCAATCCATCCGGCGGGCTGATCTCCAAAGGTCACCCCCTCGGCGCTACGGGGCTAGCTCAGTGCGCCGAGCTGGTCTGGCATCTTCGCGGCTGGGCAAACAACCGCGCGGTTCCGCATACGAAGTACGCACTCCAGCATAATCTAGGCCTAGGCGGCGCCGCCGTCGTCACGGTGTACTGCCGTCCGGACCACAGCGAGGCGCAGAAGCAAAAATCGGCGGATATCGCTAAGGCGAACGGCCTTGGATATAACCCTGCTGTTGAGGCGAAAGGGTTTACGACTGCGCAGTGCAAGAGCGTGCTTAGTAAGAAGGCGTCGAGCGCGTGGGCGTTGCAGGATACGGAAAAGAAGGTCGAAGCGAGATTTTGAGTTATAGGGAATAGGGGTAAGTTGGTGGGAATTACACACTGACTAAACTCACGGGTAAAATATGTGTTCTATTTTAGGGCTTATGGATTTAAGGCTTGCTGGAAGGGTTAAGTACCTAACGATATACTTAAGCTACGGTATGATATGGTATAGTATGAATTTATGAGATGTAATAATCATCTCCAAGGCAAGGGACATGTACATATATGGATGGTTATTATTTGTCGGTCTACTCACTTCATATTGTGTTGAGGCCCCAAACCCTCCGTGGTGTCCTAGCTAATGTGAAAGAACCAAAGATAATTTGCGGTCGGATATCGAATGTCGAATACCGACGCGTTTTGGGTTTCGCTCCGCTCGGCCGCTTATCTAGTGTATTGGTATACTAACACGACGTTGACCCTATACGAGATAAATTGTATTCATCGGAACTATTGCTATCTGCTTATAATCCGTCTCGTATTTTTTCCTTTATTTTAAGATTCTCCTCTTTGCTTGTTAATTAACGCCGCGTTTATATTACACCACGCTTCTTAGGGAGAGGAGGGGATATGATTAGCTTGTTAGGAGAGCTCTACGCTATCTGTTTTCCTTCTTCTTTTGCTTTGATCTTTTCCGGCGTGTGGCTCGCGTGTAGGTGGCCTAAGGGAGATTGTATATTATTCGGACTTCTGTTCGAACACCTCAGGTAATCTTATTCTTAAAGGTACTCGCTGGCTCGTGTCAAAACAGGTTCACTCTAATATAGATCTTGTCTGCTAAATTTCCTCTCGGTAGCTGCTCTTAAGAGTTGGGATTTTACTCGGAATCTTGTCTCTGGGTTATGTCAGAGCAGACGCCAATTGCCCTTGCGTCCATGCTCAAACTAAGCTTATACGTAGTAACCTATCTCCGAATAGTTGGCTATGGTATAGTCGTGAGGAGTGTTAAACGGTCAAAGGGTCAAAAGCCTAGACTACGCTTCCTCGCCGTCATCAGCTTAATGGAAACTTACACGGTCACTTAACGTCATAGCCTTTCTGCCGTAGAACTAACCCACGATTAAAAAGAAATATAAATACCGGGCTCCTCTCCCGAAGTAGCATCGAATCAACGAAGAATCTAACAAACAACTCGGCATTCGCTTTCATCACTCGTTTCCACCACTCGCTATCCAAGCTTTGCAAATCAGCAAATATGTCTAGCATAAGCGGACATTTCGACACTGGGGCGGTCCTGCTCATCACCTTCGGGGTAGTCACTCTCTTCATCGCTTTCATAGTAACTCTCCTCCGGTACTACCTGCAGTCTTTCGACCAGCGCCCCCTCGCTTTCTTGGATAGCCTGTGCGTTGGAATGGCCTGGGTAAGCTAACTCTCGCGCTCCCCCCCCTCTACTAACCCCTTTTTGACAAGACACGACGCTGATGGTTATTATAATTATTATACAAAACCAGATCCTCAGTCTAGTCGGCATCATCTGCGCGATAACAGAGAACACCGGTATCCAACTTAATAACCCCCCCGAAATCGACCAGTTCACCCAGTCTCTCTTCGCCGTCTCCGCCATCCTGGGCAAGCTGTCAGTGTGCTTCTCGGCGTGGCCCCTCGTCAAAAACGCGGCGCGCGTGAGAGTCTCGGTCGTCATCCAGGTCGCCATGCTTCTATCGGTGTATCCTCTATGGGTCATAGTCATGCTTGAGACGTGCGGCGCGTCGCCGTGGTCTCCCATGCTCGCCGCCTATTCTCAGTGCTCGGATAACACCGCCCGGGCGCTCTTCGAATGGGCCCGATCTTGTAAGTGTATCCCTAGGACATGGCGAAGATGTTGCCGTCGCTGACTTTTGTCTTGTTAGTCTTTGAAATATTCACGCCGATAATCCTTACCGGCTTCCCGCTAGCTATGGCTCTGGATGATAACACCAAGGGCGCTATGCGAAAGCCTTTTTACGGGCTTGCGGTCGCTTCTGCTACGTATGTGTTGCTCCCTGTCCGAGTATAGTATTCGGGTTGCTAACGATATTCCAGCACGGGCGGATTCATGTGGGCACGAGCATGGATGTCCCAATGGTTCCGTTACGACCACCACTATGTACCCTTGATCTCCATTACAATTGTCTCCATGTAAGTCTGCTGTGTCACCGTGGTCGCGTCCATGTCCGCATGCTAACGTGGGGCTTTCCCTAAACAGGATCGAGGCGAACTTAGGTATTGTGGCAGCGAACATACTGCCTATCGCGACACATCGCTCGAAGCTATTACCGCCTGTTGAATCCACAAAACCCCATCATAGGAGGTTGCCAGTACTAGATGATAGCTACGAGTGGATTGCTTTGGCAGATATACCAAGAGCACACACGCACGGAGTGTAAGAAGGCAGCAATTTTCACACTGCATCAGAGGGAAGGGTGAAAAGGATGCTATAAGTCCACAAATATACTTGAATAGGTAGGTAGCTTTGATATGCAACTAGTAATTTAATTTTGTGATTAGTGATTGCCTAGGTATCTGGCAAATCTGCTTGTCGTCCATATGCTGTACTAACTCTTCTACACTAAACATATCTCTACCAGATTCTCCCCTCGTGAATTAAATTTAGCGGGGGAGAGAGAAAAACACTTGTGCCATGATGATTGTATTGTTCACGCCCAGGGGCTATGTACTTGGTTATATTAAGAAACTCACATCTACAGAGCATGAAACATCTAGAAGCGCTCAATTAGAGTGCCACCTGACATAAGAAATCATTTTCGCCCGTCTATATCATCCTGCCTATAGCATTCCGTCCCCTCCTATCCACAACATTACTCTAGCCACCAGGCTTTGACTGGGGAAACCCCTCGAGTACAGGTATACTCAGTATGATCCGGCTGAGTGAAGTCGACCTTAGTGGTAGCTAGTGATAGATTTCAGGCGTTCAGTTAAAGTGGACGAAGACCTCAATCTCAATATTTAGTTTGAGCACCTGCTTTTCATTGTCCCAGATAGCAGCCTTGATGTCGTCGTCCCACGTGGATAGACGGTTCTTTGCAAGGTTATTTAGGCTATCGCGCCAGCGGATAACCTCACGCTGCATTTGCTCAGGCAGTTTGTTTGGGGTCGACTTCATTAGTGGCCTTAGCTTGCGGATTCTGTGATGAGGTTCCATTTTTATCGGGAGAGTGTGCATGAGATAGAACGTCTCCAGATTCTTGAGGTATGGAAGGGCATTCAAGAACATGACTTGTCGGTAGCTATTTGCCTTAGCATCAAGGGCTGCGTACCGCAGCTTCTCCGCGATTTCACAGGACAACGGAGCGTGTGGCGTAAGAACGTACACATCCAGATCAGGGCGGAAATTTCGACATGGCAACTCACATTGCCCCTCTTCCCAATGGCGAAATTGAAGGTACAATTTGGCTATGTTCCGTGCTTCTCGGCATACGTGCATAATTGCTGGGAATTTGGTCCAGATTATGGGGGACGTATCGACCATGCCATCGTTGTCTTTCTCTAGCAAGCATACCTCTTGCGTATCGGGGGGTAGTGAGAAACTCCAGATCATGTCTCGAATCTCAGGTGGAAATGAAGAGAAAAGGTCGAAACGGGGTGGTGTTGGTGGTGCCAGTGATGTTATGCCATTTTCTATAACGGCTTCCCAGTCAAGGTCCAGATCGGGTTGGTCTGATTGCTTAACTATTGTAGCACGGAGTGCTTCATAAGTAGCTTCAAGTCTATCCATGATTACTCCTAGCCGTGGTTTGTCTGCAAGTAAAGTTAGAAAACAACATACCATTCTATATCAGATCGACATCCTCAGTATTTAATAGGAAGGGGTGGGAGTATACCTAGCAACACAAGCAACACAAGGCTATTGTCTCTTTATGTCTAGGGGCTTTGTGGAAGACAACCTTTATCATTCGAGAGAATAGTTTTGTTTTTGTTGGAAGGCTTAGATGAATCTTTGGGGATAACAATTGCCTATTGGAAGGAATTCGAAGATGTCCGGTATAAAGAATCAGGAAGTTCCTCAGGTGGATGGATTTAGTACATGTATAGGATAAAAATAAAAGATATGTAAATCATAACAAAAATATAACCGAAGTACGCAAGGTCCGTGAGTAAGAGGTACCTAAGGTACGTCCCTAAGCGGTAGTCACATTATGTACCTAGGTCATTCTTGAAGAGCAAGGAAGGTACAATGGGTGCTCTGAATCTGATTTAGAGACGATGCTTATCGTATCTATTCTAAAGAGGTATCTGTAAGTTTGTACATTGTGTACCGTGCATTTGCGTACCTAACGTACCTTCCGTACCTACGTTTACAAATTACACAAATCATGGGACATCTCCTGACACGTATAGTTGTCACTGAAAGTAAGAGCCTCAGATTGTGCAGTCAGGGCAGGCGCTACGCAGTAGGTACACATACTTTGGGAAAGTATTACCAATTACGAATTCTACTAAACTAAAAATGGGTGTAGTTTCTCAAAGCTATTCCTGATGATATAGGCACCTAATTTATCGACTAAAGAGAAAGGTAAAGGTAAAGGCACCCCTATTTTGAGCCTCAGCTTATTAATGATCCCATTTAAACAACCACTTGCCGCTTTCCAAGATCGTATTTATCTCCATCCTTGAGGAAATAAAAGATGGATGAATTATTTGGAAGATTTTTCAAATCACTCCCTTCCCTCGACCAAAAGCCCCCATCATAGATAATCACGTAGGTACCTCGGTACACCTCAGCGTCATTCTTAGACACGATGAGGGCAGTATTCTCGTCGATAGCAATGCCCAAAAGCTCCGGTCGGACCTTAAGGATGTCAAACATGTCGAACTGGCGGTTACGTACGAGTACGTGTTGGTCGATGGCAACGTCCTTCACGAATCCAAAGCCTACTTGGTGATCGCCTACTAATATCTGGTTGTTGGCCGTGTCACCGCGAGCAAGAAAACTGCCCTGGATAGATGCTCCTGCCGAGCTTCCGCTGACGACGCCGCCGCGGTCGAGCACCTCGTGGAATAAGCGTTCCGTAAGGGTACCGGCGTACGCGTCAACGAGACGCCATTGGCGACCGCCCCCGAAGAACACACCCTTAGCAGCCCGCAAGGGAGCCGCGAACTCTTCCGTATCGGCGACTTTGGGGTCGTATGTATGTAGAACGGTGACATTCTTAGCGCCAAGTCTCCGGAACGTGCCCGCCGCAGCGGCATCGTCGTCGTATGTGTCACTCCCTTCGGCAGTAGGGATTGTGACGATTGGAGCATCTGGTCCGCCGGCCAGATCTATGATGCGCTGGTAAATCGCGTCGTCTTGCGCGTTACCCCCTATAATTACAAGCGTTCCGTTCTCGGGACCCACATACGGCGAGCTTGAGCGCTGCTCCATGACCGGACCCGCGGAGACGAGAGCAGCAAGGGCTAAGGTCGAGTATTGAATGATGCTTTTCATTTTTACTGACTGCTGGAGAAAAAATTACGGCTAATGAAAAAGTTAGTAGGAATCGTCACGACATTTATATACATTTGCTTCTTCGTTCGGATGTAAAAGAAAGATCCGAATACTTCCCCACTCTCCAGGTGTTGAGCTAGCGAGACCTTCCTATTGTATCTTGATATGGACCCCGACAGCCAACCGGATCGTCTAATGTAATGTCGTGCAATTGAGAGTAAATATCGCCATCTATGGCGAACATTTTGAAGTAGACCGACTAAAAACTACCATTAAGAATTTACATGCCAAAATCAATTATATAAAGGGCCTTTTTCTACAAATAGCTGAGTATTAATTACTGTCTTGGATAAGACTGATTAGTTAGGTAGGTATATACGTACGTATACTATCAGAATGGATAATATCAAACTAGATTTTAAACTGGCGACTATCTATACAAGACTTGCATGGAAGACGGCATAGTAAATCTCGTGCCAGCACGAAATGATCACCATCTAAGGCCGAGGGGCAAGCCAAAGGGTGAATAAACAAGCGACAATACACAAGATACCATAATAGACGATAGCTGCTGCAACAAGCCTATGCCAATTGATGCTGAACTCCATGTTGACCTGAGGGTTGCCGAAGTAGCAGATGTTGAAACTGTGAGGATGCGAGTAAGAAATGCAAATACAACTCTGAAATATGAAGAACTATGAAACTACCTACCTAGGTAGTTAGTATTGGGTTATGATATGGCTAAAACTCTTTGTTTCGATGCCTGTGGTCTAGGATTCTAGCAGACGGGACATGATAGACAATAACAAAGAGTAGTCCTAAGTACTGCCATGTTGAATGAAAAATAGTTAGGAGAGAATTACGGACAATCTTTTAACTTACAGCTAGCAGAATAAAGAAGCGAGTGTGTCTGTAAGCCAGAGGGGCATTGGCGCCGATATTGCAAACAATAATGAGTTGCTTCTAGATTTGTGCTAGGAAGCCTCTAGGATTATCTCGATAATAGATTTCGTTACTTAGATGATAAACTAGAATAGTTAGAAGTTACTATGAACGAATATATTGTTCAGATGCATGAATCCTATTAATCATCTGTCGATAATCAAATTTACATACGGCCAGCCCCTTGAGGCTCTATCGCGACTTCACGTGGCGCGAGAACAGCTATATGGGTTAGGTATTCGGTGCGCGTATCTGATAATACACATGTTCGATATCTAATCTACGCTGGTAAACCCTGCTACGTTGCATGTGCAGATCCTTTATAGCGTTCTTCCATACCACATTCCTCTGGACCCCTGATTTCCCCTCATTTTAGTCTTCCGCAGCCGACCTATGAGACGAGGCATTCTGCCGGATCAGCCTGCAATTCTTGGCTCTGTTCCGGATAACGAGGTTTAGTCGGCGATCTGGATGGTAGCATGGGTGGTAGGTGAACGATAAGGGAAAAGCAGATGCATAAGGTACCTAGGTTAGGTTGGTAACGTTGGTAAGGTTGGTAGATAAAATGGACACGCGATCCCACCACTACGGTACTTTTGCAAATGCTTCCGCAGAGAGCTCCAGCCCTATGGATGTTCCTCGTGTAACAGGTACCGATAAGACGACTACGATGATCGCGCAAAGCGACGAGCCGTCAAAGCTGGGCGTCGCCGATGATGTTGCGTTGGCTGAGGCCGTGCGACGCGAGCATGGCTTGACGTTCTGGGAGGCAGTGAAACTATACCCGACCGCTGTCGGCTGGTCGGCGTTCGTCTCGATAGGTGTAATCATGTTGGCTTTTGATCCTCAGATCGTTGGGAATATGTTTGCCATGCCCCAATTCCAAAAGGACTTTGGGTTTGAGCTTGACGGTGAAGTATGTGTTCTATTCATTGCCAATTACCTACCGCAAGAGTTAGACAGGAAAGTAAAACTGATATGGATATTCTTCTGTTAGTATGTCATCTCGGCCGCGTGGCAAACTGGTCTGTCGCTGGGGAATCCCATCGGACAAGTCGTTGGCGCATTGTTCTCGGCCTATCCCTTGGAGTTGTTCGGCCGCAAGTGGACTTTTTTCGGTTGCATCCTCCTGACGGCATGTCTCGTCTTCATCCAATTCTTCGCGCGCTCCCTGCAGGCCCTACTTGTAGGAGAACTGCTGGGCGGGCTCGTGCTGGGATGCTTCGTCGTTATCGGCCCAACTTACGCCTCTGAGGTCTGTCCCATGGCACTCCGTGGATTCCTGACCAGCTACACCAATCTTTGCTTCGTTACGGGGCAACTTCTCGGAAATGGGATTACGGCTGGAACGGCCTCGATCGAAAACCATTGGGCGTATAGTATACCATTCGCGCTGCAATGGTTCTGGGTTGTGGTCATCATCCCCGGAATCTTCTTCATCCCAGAGTCGCCGTGGTGGCTGGTGCGAAAAGGTAGAATAGAGGATGCCAGGGACGCGCTGCGCCGATTATCATCCTCAAAAGTAAACGTCGACGCCACATTGGCCGTCATCGCCGAAACAGATCGACTCGAGCTGGAGATGGAAGCAGGCAGTACTTACCTAGACACTATAAAAGGAATAAATCTACGGCGGACCGAGATCTCTACCGGCGTGTATACGACGCAGGTCCTGAGCGGCATCTACTTGATTAACTACGGGACTTATTTCTTTGAGCAGGCAGGACTGCCGACTCAAGATGCATTTTATATGGGCATTGGGTTTTTGGGTGTGGGTTGGGTCTGCACTGTGCTATCCTGGTTCCTCATGGCTCGCTTCGGCCGAAGACGCATATTTAATATCGGATTGTCTGTTCTTATCCTTCTAATGTTCATAATCGGTATCCTGGACAGCATCCCTGGTCGACCTTCGGGTGTAGCTTGGGCCGAAAGCTCGCTCATGCTGATTTGGAACGGTGTATACGACCTGTCGGTCGGACCTATCACCTTTGTGATTTTAGGAGAGTGTTCCGCCACTCGTGTCCGATCCAAGACGATTGCGGTGGCTACAGCGATACAAGCCGTCTTTGGGATCGCAATGACGGTTGCCATTCCATATATGATCAACCCAGCAGAGGCGAACATGCAGGGTAAATTGGGATATTTCTTTGGTGGGTTGGGAATTCTCTGTCTGGTTTGGTCCTACTTTCGGATCCCCGAAACGAAAGGGAGAACGTACGAAGAGCTGGATATTTTGTTCGATAGGAAGGTTCCTGCTAGGCAGTTCAAGGGATATCAAGTGGATGTTACTGCTGTACCGGGCGAGAGCTGAGTGTAGTATTATTAAATGAGACTACGATACTATAAGTATTATAATATTATCTATGGGAGTAGGTCAAGCTGGTTAGACGTATAAGCGGTCACTTGAATTAGACAAGTAGATTATAATAGTTGATAATAGTATATTTCAAAATAACTACCTAACCTAACATAATATTATCGTCAAGTTCCCAATTGAAGATATTGAAATTGTTTCCAAGAGAAACTACTAATACGAAAACTAACCACGCTATCCTCTTAATAGTCTAGGTTAGCCAATTAATTATACCATTTCAGAGACCAGCATATCGACCAGTTAACTCCCTACCTGTATCTCGGGTCTTTTTCTTAGCTTCAGATCTCAGTCCCTTAAGAGCCATCATTATTTTGTCGTTACTGCACTACGTTACGATGTCCCGACAAAATTCAGTACTAGCTTAAGTGCCTTGATATAATAGGATACCCTAGAAACCGTCCACAAGACCGTTTGATTAGCTGTTCGACAGGGTTACGACTGGAAAAACTGGACCGCAACTCCACATCGTGACAGCTATTTATTGCACACAGCCCCCTAAACCCTTGGCGGTGACATTTATTCTCCAGTTAGAAAGGCGAAGGACTCTACCAAAAAGAACTTATGTCATTAAAATAAGCTGTGCTATTGTATAAGACGGCCACGATTTGAGATGCTTTAATTTGTCCTATGCTTTTATTAACGATTCTCTTTACATCTGATTTATTGGCGTTTTTTCTACCGTTTCGAGAATAGCGGGCATGAATTACGTACCATACACAATTGATTGCGGTGAGCGATAATGAATACAGACTACAACCTCGACGAGCTGGACACGGCTCTTAGCGAGTCCCGCCACCAAGCTGCCGCCGTAGCCGGGCCTCCGAGTCGGCAGGAAAGTTCCCGCCGCACGGCATCTAGCACCCGGCGCGGCAGCTTAGTTCCCGGAATGGGTGCCCTTTCTTCGGCTACATACAGCCCGGGAAAACAGCACCAACGGCCCCGACTCGATGAACTCAACCTCTTCAACTTCGACCTCCGCGAGCTCGTCCGCGATATTCTCCTACCGACGGGCCAAGAGACTCGTGTTTCGTACCACGAATATGCTGTCTTCCGGCCGGGTGAAGAAAACGACGAGACCCGCTCTCCAAGCATCATGTCCGAAGGAGAGGTCGCACTGCGGATGTTTCGAGATGCGGTTAGACACGGACATGGCTTGGACTACGAGGTGAGAGAAACATGATATATGGCTACTCCAATGCTGCGTTTCTTATCTTTTTGGAGACAGTTGAGCTAGCCACCCATACCCGGGACATAGAGTGCGGTCACCCAAGCAATGAAAGAGTGTAGGCTGATTGAGTGGGGTTCGCACGCAGGGAAATTTCACTCCTGTGCCTAAGGGGAAAAGCTTGCTTCAGGGAAGAGTGCGACAAGTGTGAGTATACATAGCTTTGGCTTTTCTTTTTCGGGTTTCTCTCTTTTTTTTATACCCTTTCCAGCCTCAAGTTCGAATCACTGGATTTTACTCGGAGCATGAGCATTTCATGAAGACAAAGGCTAACTGGAATTTACAATAGAATTGCCCACCGACGTGCTCGTCATGAAGAAGAACAACACAACACGAATATTACAGTCGATGGTTTGTATCTTACCGTGGATGATTATGAATCTTTAGGGTTGCATTCCGGTACCCTGCCTACCCTGCAACGGGTAACCCTCGAATCGTCGTTCTGGGACTCGAGAAGGGAGACGATGTGTAAGTGGATAGCAACACCACGAGCCTTACTCAAGATGGCTAAATAAAGCTATATCCTCTTTCTCTTCTTGGTGTATCCCGTAAATTGTACTGACACACATCAAGATTTAATCCTAAGCTTCTCCTCTAGTCCACAGCCGCCATACGACTTCCTCTCAATGGCGTACAGACTAAAGACCAGGACGACAACCGCCCTCATAAGGCGATCTTTTGATACAAGGTGGCATGCCGATGATGCGTTGGACGAATATGAGCGTCGGCTGGACTCTTGTAGGGCACGCTGGTCTCACCCGCTCGTATTGCCAGTCGTCCTCTTACAGGTACAGCTATTTCGCACCGAAGAGGCGGTGAACGCCAACAATGCCGAAGTGCTGGAGCTCGAGGCGCACGTCGATGCGGTGACGGGCACGATAGGGCGGGCTAACGCCGAAGCTTGGTGGCGAAATCACCAAGGAGAGAAGAATCAGCATTTCAAACCTTTAAAGCGTTTCTCGTCAAATCTTAAGGAGATGGTCGAGTCTAAGGTCGGACGAAGCCACGAGTTCTCTCGCAACGTTACGCCTTCGACCGGACCAGAGGTAGCTAGTTACTACGATCCCGACTACGTGCCGCCGCAGACAATTCACCTGATGAAAGAAGCCCACGACGTGCTCAAAGGAGCCATTCAGTTACTAGACACGCTGAGATGGATGGAGCGCGCGTTGAAACTCATCATCCAAGCTGGTGACGAGCTAGACATGCGCATAAAGGAATTGAGGGCTCAGGCCGTAGCAAGAGGGGAACTTAAGAGAGACGAGGCCGACGAGTTCGATGACGAGCTTACCGTCCACTGGCATGAGATCAGGCAGTATTTAGACTGCACGTGGCGGCTCTGCACTTCACTCGAGACGGATCGGCGTATGTCAGAACTGCGCTGCCGGGCACAGATCGATATTATCTACTCGAAGATGGCGCAGGAGGATAACAACCTCAATGCGCGCATGGCAGTAGCATCGACAAGGGACAGCTCTTCGATGAAGGCATTGGCCGTGATCACCGCCCTCTTCCTACCGGGCGAATACATCGGCACGCTATTCGGCGTGTCCATGTTTAACTGGGAGACAGGCACGGCAGGCGACCCGGCTATATCAGCGGATGCGCCCCAGGAGTGGCCGCATCCCGTAGTCATGCCCTCTTTTTGGATTTATTGGGCTTTCACGATCCCTCTTACACTGTTAATCGTCGGCGGGTGGCGTGCGTGGTGGGTCAACCAGGACCGTTATTTCCGCCGCCATCTCAGCACCGACCTTAGCGACGAGCGGTACTGGACTACCGACGGCCGGCCTCGTGATCTCGAGACTACTTTCGCGCAGGACTTCTTCAGCGTGCTTAGCCGGAGCGGCGCCGGGAGTACCTCTAACAGCACGATCCTCGGGAAGAACCAGGGTGTGCGATCTAGGTCGGGAAGTGGGCCTATGAGGGTGTCCAGTTTCGATGTCAACAGGTCTCAAATCCGGACCCCTATCCCTTCAAGCTCCATGTCCGGCTTGGGTTTGCCCAAGCACGTGCCGACGCCGAGTCTGGTATATACCCACGTGGGCAAGGACAGGGAGACTACCACCGATTCGGAGCGTGAAGGCGAAGGCGGGGACGGGGCTATGCGGTTTAGACAGATTTCGTTTGCTAGAGGACCGCGGATACGGAAGCAGGATGAATCTGCGGTTTAAACGATGCTGTTTAAGATGCCAACCAAGTTGATTATACCGTTGAGATTGGTTATATATCTTACTACCTTATACTGCGCGGCCACTAATTATAGAGAAAGATAGAACAGTACGCTAGGTAATATTAAATTGATAATACAAGTTCGCCCCCTATATTGTTTTTAGGTAATAAAATGTTTAACCATTTAACCATGTGACAAAAAAAGGGCACCCACACTTATCGTGTAGATATATTCCTGTGACACTCTACGTTCCTCACCCCCTATTGCCTTGTAAATGCCTAATAGCAAAATGAAAATTTTATAAATAACACCATAGATAATTAATAGTCTATAGTTCAAATATACACTTCTAAGGTGTTATGGTTCTACCACTAGCTCAAAATACAGACCCGGAGACTCCCTTCTGAAGCCTTTCCAGGCGCTCCTCGGTTATTTCGAAGCACTCGGGTAACCCGGTGTCATCCCATGAGCCTCCGAGTATCAGCTTTGCGACACCCGGTGCACAAGTGAATATCCTCGCCATACCTAAATAGGAGCACGTATTAGTTATGAAAATATTTAGGTATTAAATTAAAGTGACCACTATTCTTACCGTGGCCGTTAAACCCGGCACAAACCCACTGCCCCGGCAGACTCTCTATCTTGCCGACGAATGGGACCGAGTCCGTCGTCATCCCGATTATGCCGGTCCAGGTATGCTGCAGGCCCTCCCCATGGCCCAGCTTCGCCTTCTCGCACTCCGGGAAACAAGTCTCGAAATTGTCGACCGCGTCGTCTCGCACCTCCTCGTTGAAGACGCTATCGTCGGGGACCAGACGGCTGGCCGCGGCCGCGGGGCTGACATTCGGGTTCGCGATCGGGGCGCCGAGGATGATGATCCCGTCCGGGCGCCGCTGGGCTACCGAGTAGAAGTGCTTTAGCGAATGGCGCAGGGACATGGTGCTTGGTAGGATGCGGGACGAGCTAAGCGAAGGTGGCGGCACGAAGGCGTGTGCTTGGGCGCGGTTGGGGGTGATGAACGTCGAGAGCTGGGGGAGGAGGTGAGGCGCGAAGGCATTCGTGCAGTGGACTACCGTCGAGGCTTTCGCTGTGCCCCGAGGTGTCTGCATGTCCCAAGAGACCTGGTCAGCCGTCGAAGAGGCCGACTTGGTTACCGAAGTAACCGGGCAATGAGTAAACAACCGGACACCCTTGTCTATCGACTGCGTAAGAAGCCACTGGGCCAACTTCGCCGGATGGCTCGAGCCGGCCGGCCACTCGTAAGCAGCAAATGCTTTCTGCACGCGGGTCGCTTTCCGTGCTTCCTCCCCTTCGTAGAACTTGATATGGGAGACGTCGCCTCCGGCTTCTTGATACTCCCTCAAACTGCGGGCGTTGAAATCGGCAAACTCCCGCGTCATGCACACGTCAAACGTCGTCGTCGGGTTGAAGTCACACTGGACCCCGTGTTTCTCCACGAAGTCCTTGATCCGGTGGAAGACGAGCTTCTCGTTGGCGATTATCTTGAGCGCTTGGTCTTGGCCGTGCACTTGCTTGTAGACTTGGAATCCGCGGAAGGCATCTGTGCGTAATAGTTTAGCAATGTGAATGATATTGTATAGGTACCTACCCATGATAACGTTTGACTGACCTGGACGCACATGTCCTGCATTCCTCGAACTCGCTCCGCTGGCGGCTTCTCTCGCCTCGAAAATGACTATATCCCCTGCCGGCACGCCCCCCTGAATTAACTCATAGGCAGTCAGAGCACCGGAGATGCCCGAGCCGATGATGGCGTACTTGGACCCTTCCGGAACTGGTTCGTTCTGATTGACATGTAAGTAGGGGAACGAACGTGTAGTCTGCTGCCAGAATGACACGCAGGGGTTGGCCACCGGCAGGGTTATCTTTTGGGACTGCATCACTTAAAAGCCTACCACCCGATACGGTATGTTCAAGGTAGATAGATGGTGTGTATAGTATTTAGTTACTCCTATAAGCTATAATTACTATCGGGTTACTCTTGGTTCAAAGATACAAGACGGATTATTTATAATGACTACCTAGGTACCTACCTAACCTTAGGTATACAATACCGAGCTCTTCCACGATACCTCTGCGGGGCAGCCGAAGGAGTGGTCCGACTAGACGATAAGCATTTCTATACAGGCGCGAGGGGCCGAAGCCGCAGGATAGCCGATTACCTACCTACCTACCTACCTAGTTCATAGACCCGCATGATAGCTTCATAGGGTAATTTGATTGCGATTCGTTACTATTCCTATTAGTTCATTTAACTAGAAGTTCGTATTTCTGTCTTTTAGGGCGGACATCAACATGATTTAAAATGGCAATTGAGATAAGGCGTTTACGTTTGGCGAGATGGGAAATATAGGTAGGTACCTAAGAACTGAGCGTAGAAATCGGATCGTTAAGTTATCAAGACTTGCGAAAGTGATGCTTAGGTAACTATACACTTACATCAATCTTATTATTACCATATCACAATCGGGTCTCCTTATTCTTATAAGCTTGAAATATATTTGTTTTTTTAAGCTATTTAGCTAAGGGAGTACTTAGTTATATGATATCCTCCAATTGATAAGCCAGGCTCAGTGCATATAACCCAAGCTCATATGTATTCTCATCTCAATAGTTCTTGGTATAATACTGAGCAAGCGACTTAAAACTTAGGTTAATAGATTGCGATCATAGGTCTGCATATACCAACTCTTTTAACCTAAATGGAAGACTTGATCCATCGCTTTGATGTCATAGAGTTATGATAACCTCATAGCCCGTGAGTCATTAGAACAAGCTTCATGTCAAAGCACTTTCATTTGAAATTATATAAATATATGGCATCCCCCTTATCGTTTTCACGGACTCGGGATCATGCCACACCCCCTCTATGAGACCCCTCTATGAGACCCCTCTATGAGATGCGAGAGCTACGAACAAACAAAACCTTGACTTACCCAGCAGCTCAACAACAGAATTCCAAGCAAGGTCATTATTTTCAAGCACATGACCCAAAAGGGGCAACACGAAGCGAATCAACTTTACGCTACCGCTATCAAGATTCAATTCGCGCTATTCTAGCCCTGCAGACGTGAAGTCATCCAAGCGTTCATTAGAGCCTACGCTACGGAACACCGTTGGGGCTGTCAAACGCCTTATATCGGACAGACAGCATAAATAATTAAATCAACATGTCGATTTTTATACTTCCTGTATCGATCAGCCACACTGCCCGTTTCACAGATATCTGCTTGATTTTGCCAAAACAAATACTGAATTCTATTAATGTTCATTAATGTTCATACACAATCCAAAGCATACCTAGGTGCCTAACCTACCTAGGTACTCTACATACATGTGAACAGAACTGCTACATAGATACCGCCATGTGATTCCTCGAAGGGGTGAAAATCCTCAATTACTGATGTTCTATTCTAGTTTATGCTTCTTGTCTATCCAACGCCCGCTAGCTATGCTCGAAATGCAATACATGCATACATCCATGCCAATACTATGTGCTTCTCTAATCTACCTTGAATTAGGTTACCTGACCTGGTTGATTTATATACCTCTCATAAATCCCCTCTTCCTAACCGGCGGCAACGCGCCCTTCTCCTTCGGAACGACCTTCTTTTGGCCCTCGGCCCGCGCATCGTACACGGTGTACGACTCGGCGGCCCTCTCGCCGTTCCGCTGGCCGTTCTCCTGCCTCCACCGTCCAATGTAGCAGCAGATGGGGAATATGGCAAGGTTGATGGCGACCCACGCAAACAACACCCCAAAGTTCAGCCCGATCTCCGAGTGCAAGTCGAACAGAATCGACCGACTCGCTTGCACGACGTGATGCAAGGGCCAGGCGTAACCCCAGCGGAAGAAGCCCGGTGCTAGCTCGATCGCGTAGAAGGCCGTTGACACGTTGGTGATGACCCACTGCGCGCAAGTTAGCAAGTTGTCTCTGTCTTTTTCCCGCCTCCTCAAACTTCGGGTAGAAATTCGGGAGTTATATAAGTAGATTGCGAGGTTGACTGGTGGGAATCAACGTCCCACGAGCGCAACAACAAACTTGAGGACGAAGATAATCCGTGCAACGCAAAAAGGGGGAAACGTCGGCGGTACTTACGAAGATGAGCCAGCCGGCTGTCCAAGGCTGTCCGATGATTATACCCATGTTCTCGCAGGCGAGACCCAGCGCACACATGCCGATGAAGTTCACCATCCAATAAACGGCAAATGAACCTCGCCCGTACGCCGTGGGATTAATCGCCGGCTCGGTAGGCGACGCCGGCGGATTCGTGAAGGGAATCTGAAAGGCGAGGGACACGAACGAGTAGATGAGCGACACCAAGAAGTACGTCATTATCGTCGCGCAGATGCGCCAGAGTATGAGCTGCCAGAAGCGTAGTGGCGGGTGGCCCTTTGGAATGATGAATTGCTACGGAGACGTGCTGTTAGCCCAGATGTGTACACCTAACGGGATGAGCTGTAACGAGAACCGGCCCGATTCGTCCCGCGACAATTCGGCCGGTGAGTAACGGTTATATATATACACATACCATGTGGATGGGCAGGAAGAAGGTGAAGGAGAAGAAGGCGACGATGATGAGGTAAATCAGACCGATGCTGACCGTGGGTGTAGCGGTAGCCGGGCCGAAAGGTCGCAGGTCGATGGACAAGGGCGTGACACCTGGACTCAGGGCCGCGGGTGCTTGAGCAATCACATCCCTATCGAGCGACGAATTCGACATGACAGTTTGGGTCCACGTCGGGCCGAACCGTGCTGCGAACTGAGCAGCGAGGGCATTCATCAGTGGAACGATGTAGTTGATGGTGGTAGTCTCCTGTCTCGCGGACTGGGTGATGAACTGAATGGCACCCGTGGGGTCGTAGGACGAGTTTCCCGTTGCGACAGCCTCCTGTAACAAGGCGGTGGCGTTCGGGTTGACGATAATAGCCGCCCAGCAGTGCCAGTCGTACACGGCCTGCCGCACAGCAATCGGATCGTAGCCGAACTCGTCGGGTGGCACGATGGTGTACCCCAGCTTCCGCCTCACCGGCGAATCAATGACCTGCTGCGCGACCTCCGCCACTGCCGGTCCCACGAGCGGCGTCACGTCGTCGTACGGCGCCACCTGCCCGTCGAAGTCGACCACGTAGATTACTAGCTTGTGGAGGTTGCCGTCGATGTGCGTGAGCACTCCCCAGTACATGGACAGCACCGCTAAGATGAAGGTCATGAGCATCAATACTAGACAACATGGTAAGCCTGATAGTCGGTCTCCCGCGCCAAAGCTGGGCTAAACTAACGCGTCCGAAGCCAGTTAGTGACGACCTCTCGCCGGACCTTATCCATCCTCGGATCCCAGAACCCGGCGCTCCGGTGCGGCTCTTCGTACCGGCCATCTTCAGCATATTCTTCGTACTCTCTCGGAGGAGCCTGGATCGTGCCGTCCGAGTCGTCCGTATCAGTTGCGTATCTCAGCCAACTCGTCTCGACCATCTCTCGTCTGGACGGGTCATCCCTAGCACCGACCACGGGGTTCGAAAACGAAACCTCCAAGGGTCTGTTTGGCATCGACATGTCTTACTACTCTTTTTTTTTTTTGCTACGAGAAACTATGCCCTGGGTAAGGGGGAAAAAGGGGGGGGATATGTCTAACAAAGGAGCGAAACAGGGCTGGCGGTGAACCCTCGGAGGAGAGACTATCCCACGTATATAAAGCTACGACTCGATGACGGGCTGACCGTCGGAAATAATGCGAGGCGGGAGCGAGCCGCATGTCGAAGTTATCAAATGCCGTTATGTCGAGCTAAAAGTTAAAAAAAAAAAAAAAGAGGCTTACTGTTTTTTTTCTTTTCTTTTCTTCTACTTCAGATCGCCTTCGCGATGGAGTTAGGTATACATCGGCATAACGGTATGGCGAACTGACATAACTCCGCTCGCGTGATCCTCATTGTGCTGATGTCACTCTTTCGGTACCCGAGAGGTCGGAAGTGGCGGACCGACCACCATGTCTTTGACGGGCAGTCAGTCCAGGGGGAGGGTAGGGGAGGAAGGGTAGGGGGTGAGGGCTGAAGAAACCGATCCATCCATAAGCAGATAAAGGGCCTAGATCTATAACCGCTGGAGCGAACGGAGCAATCGCCTGGCTGTCTCGCATCTAAACTAATCAGGACCCGGCTATGTCGGGCATCCTTCTTCTTTATTGGTACCACATCTCACGCACGTTGACAAGTTAGCAAGTTGGGTTGGTTGGTTGGTTGGTTTGGTTGGATTGGATTTTAAAAAACGAGCAAGCACATTTATGAGAATGTTCTAAAATCCGAAATGACGACATGGAACGATTATTCTGTTTCGAAACTTTGATTCATAACCCCTATTAGAAAGAAAATGAACAAGGTAAAAATATATATATAATTACCAACCACATAGGCAAGTAAGCTAGCTCACAGCTCAGCTGGCCTCGACAAGGAATGAGCCTACCGTAGTGACACAAGGAAGAGGTCTAAGTACATACATATGCCTGGTATTATTTGGTCTGGATTCGCTGTCGACAATCATTCGGCGAGTCAGAAAAAAAAAGAAAGAAAAAAGAACTCCTGACTCGTAATCTAGAACACCACGATGTCTCGCACCGGTCTATGGAACACGCCGCCGCCGTAATATCTACCAACCTGCGTGCGCAATTCCCGTTATCATAGCATTACATATCATATCATATCATATCATACCGGGAACAAGGCATTTATACCCGCATACATACAAACGGTTGTAGTCGATAACAACGATAATGGTAATGATAATGCAGCAGCAGCTGCTGCTCACCGAAAAATGGCACGGCATGAAAAAGAAAAGAAAAAAAGCAAAAAAAGGAAACCCTCCCCTCTCCCCCCCCCCCCCCAGCCAACCCCGAGCCTTACCAATAGTGTACCTATGTACCAACTACGCAAGCGACCTCTCCCATGTGCTACGTGACCAACGAATGCTACTCCTCGACGTGCGAAATAGTGCAACCCCAACAGCACGTTGAGATAAAAAAAAACAACCAAAAAAACCAAAAAAACAGGCCAGATAGATCTTGGCTTGGAGGGGGGGAGGGAAGGAGGCGCTGGAGGATTCCATGCAACTATTACTTACATACCTTCCTTACTGTTCTTTATAAGCCGCCCTCGGATATAAGACACGTTTTACTCAGCATTCGTGCGAGTCAATCGGTAGCCCGTCTGCCGTGCACACCTTATCTCGCTGCCGCTGTTGCCTACCTACTGCTTTGTTTTGTTTTGTTTTATTTCGTTTCGTTTTGCGGTTTTCGGCGCCCCCCCCCCTTTTTTTTTAAAAAAAAAAAGAAGAAGAAAAGAAGAAAAAAAGGAAAAAAGATGAGATATATAAAGGGGTGATGTGATGTATTTATCTGTGTACCTAACTTATGTATAATCATTTTACATTACTTACGTATATATAAACATGCTGGGTTAAATAAATAAATAAATAATCTCATAATATTAGTTTTTAAACACGCGGGACCGAAGCCTTCATGTGAGGAGGCACTTATAGATGGTAATAAAACTTGTGATACGATGACAATGACAATGTTAAAATAGAATCTAATGAGAAATATAATATTTCCGAGATACGAAGCGAAATTGGAAATCAACATACCTGACCTAACAAGTATCGCAGTGTGATGCATGTAATTGCCCACTTATAAAACTAATGCGGTCCCGAGAATCTAAACGTCCTCGAGGCTATTATACATATCAAACCGATTGGATCACATATGATATTAAACGTAAATGTTAATGATGTTGATTTTATTTTTTATTGTTTTTGTTGTTGTTTTTCGTATCACGAAAAACACTAGCTATCTATTATAACCAACTCTCAAGGCGATCCGATGTATACACATCGCAATGCCCTCCCATTCTTGTTCCTACTCTTGTTCCCACTCTTGTTTCTCATAAGCAACGCTGTTCCGAAGCGCTTCATCAGTAGCCAAGATCTCTCAACGCTAATTCCTAATAGAGTAAAGTAAAAAATCGCATGCGATGATATGTGATGTAAATCCGCTCCGCTCGAACCGCTCCTTTTCACCTATGTAAACTTTCCCGAACGCCATATGAACCAAGTTCAATATACCGTGAACAACTTAAATGAAATACAACATGGTATAATGGTATAACTCATAGCCCGATGCTAAGCATATCTAGCCTGGCCAGGACAGGTTCAAGGCTGGCCGCGAGACGCTCCACCCGTCGTGCGGCCATAATGGCAACAGTGTCTTCGTCTGAACAATCAACAAGCTCATATCTAGCGAATGTTTTCTCAGGTTCGATACCGCCGAAGATGTCTACGGCAGTGAGACTATCCGTGTTCAACTCCACAGGTTTCGACGATGTAATAGTCGTTTCATCATCATAGATGTCTCCGTCAAGATCTGCGACCGAGTATTCAGATACTTCCGACTCGGCAAGAGTCTCCGCCAACTCCGGAAATTCAACGGGTGACTCTAGGACGGGAGCTCCGTTCTTCTCGGCATCTGCTGAAAAAGATTCTACAAAACTCGGCCCCTTGCCCGCCAAAGCTTCTGTGTCAATAATGGGCATCTCCGGTGTCTCCAAAATAGCAAAAACCCTAGGTTGATAATTGAAGTCCGAGTTGATATTCAGCATAGAAAAGTCCATTGTTTGCTCGGGCATCATAACCATCCCTATTTGATGCTGATGATTTTGTTGGCCCGCAATGAAGGGATTGACATCTTTGGGGACTTGAGACTCGAGCTGTCGTTGCGACTGTTGCTGTTGCTGTTGTTGTTGTTGCTGCTGCTGCTGCTGCTGCTGTTGTTGTTGAGAGGGTGCAGAAGAGTTGGAACTAAGATGGTCTAGGAAATTGGAAAATGACGGCGATGCAAGCAACATCCGGCTGAGGTCGGTGAGACGTTTATTCTCCTCGATCAAGGCACGATTCTGAGCACGCAAGTCACCATTCTCGGTCACCTTATTCGCAATCTCGGCCTCGAGTTGTGTAATATACTCTATTTTACTATTAGCAAATTAATACGCTCAGACGGATTATAGATATTACCTTTTCTTCTTGATCGAAAAGCCCGAGCGGAAACCTTGTTGCGCAATTGGCGCCTTTCCTTGCTGCTAAGCTTCTTCCCTTCCTCGCTAGCAAGCAGTCTTTCGTCTTCATCCATATCATCTTCTTCTTTTTTAGGCCTCGGCAACTGGAGAAGAGGAGAATTGTCGCCCGAATCGCCAGGACTAGCACCGGCTTTCGACCTCATGGAATTAAGAAGCTGAGTAATCTTCTGCTCTACAATCGGATCCGAAGGCATAGAAGCCTTTGCCCTATGTTGCTTCGCTTGCTGATTTTGTCTCTGCTGGATAAGATGCTGCTGTTGTCTCTGCTGTGCCTGCGCCTTTGCCAATGCAGCCTGCTGATGCATACCAGGATACATCCTCCCCACATTGCTCGTCTGGCTTGGAACAGTTGGCGACGTCATTGCTTGAGACTCTCCTCCAATTGCGTTGGGGTCAATCGTCGCCTCCGGAAAGAAAAACGAGGCCTCGGCCTGGGAATCGAAGTCAAGGTCCATATCAGTGGTGCTCATATTCCGCGACGGGACAGTATTGAAGTCGAATGTGTCCTCGCTCGAGCCAATCTCCGAAGGCATATAGTCTATAGCATACCCGGAAAGTTGGCTACTATTGTTGATAGCAATCGTACTGGTGAGGGCTCCCGGGACGAAGGGTGTCTGCTGCTTATACTGATCGTACTGATGACTAGGACCCGATAGTGCCTGCGTGGTTGGCAAGGTACTTGGTGTTGTTACTGCCGCTGAGTTTATGGTGAATTGGGATTTGGTGGCGCCTGGAGAAGCTAAGGTCGAAGTTGGTCGATATGTGTTCGAGTCGTACTCGTGGAAATCGAAGAGTTCGAGAGGATCGACCTCGACCATGCCCGTGGGGCTCGACGAAGGCTGGCTTGAAGCCGACATAACCACTCTGGAAGGTGAATCTGCTCAATCCAGTCCGAATGACTATCTTAAAAAGAGAAATGCTTATTTTAAGTCTATATACACGAGTATATTCGATAGAAAATAGTGGTTTCGATTCGCTAAAAAAAGAATTGGATAGAGTATTGAGTATTGGTATAGAGAGGAAAAAGAAGAAGTATCGTGAGCGAAGTAATGTTGAAAGAAATGGCAAGATTGGTAAGGAAGGCGGATTAGAAGGGAAATTTGGATAATATGGGTGCCTGGGACATCGCTGTCTAAAAGATGATACAGCAGTACGGCGGTACGGGGGTGACAGCTGGGTGGTCAGTTCTTAGACGGCTTCTTTGGGGGGGCTATCCTTGAAGTTTCTTGTGTGTGGCTTGGCGAGTACTTGGCTAGTGTCTGGCCCCGTAGGGAAGGTTGACAGGGACTGTCCGATTAAAAGAGGAGAAGGGACGCGTAAGCCAGTGTGAAGGTCTGTCCCCATATCCTAGGTATATCAACCAATGGACCCCAACTTCCCAAGACCGAGACGTTAATTGCCCCGAACCAATCACAGGCTTGGAATCTAACGCATCTACATATGTACATAGTAACGCCTGTTACACGGAGGTGTACCGTCATAGAGGAACAGACACCCGCATAGAGCTACTTAGGTAGTTAACTAATGTACAATACTAACCTAGTTACATGTAGTTGTTAGGTAAAGTTACTAAAGTATCTGAGTGTACGCTAGGTAACCTAGGTCCTACATACATGTACTATGTAAGTCAGGAATTAATCCAGTAACCTCGTACATATCAACCGCCGTGATAATTGCCAGTAAAATCATATCACGTCCTGCAAGAGAGCCTTCTGTAGCCATCTACAGCTTAGTTAGATGACGACGCCAATTCCACTCGAAGGCTTAGATCCAATACTCTCTGCTTATGGGCGCATATACATAGTATCTACAGGCGGCTCTTAGCTCACAATTGGTGATGACGATGACGATGTCGATGTCGAACACGACAAACAGACGAAAAGGGTCAAGATGTTTTCATTATGAATCCTTTGCTAGATGTTGACTCGCCATTGCCAAATACATAGTACTCGACCTAAGACAAGTCAATCACGGTGTTCATAGAGTGCATACATAGCATAAACGCATCGGATCTATGGTTTGTTTGGGAGATCCCGCCGAGAAGTGTCACTCTTGTAGTATGTCTCAAGTACTTAAGGTTTTAGGTCTACCACCGCAGAACCTTCATATTCGGGGATCGGATGGGGAAGTATAGGGTACATAGTACATTTAGGTAATCCGGACCTGTACAGATGCACTTGTTCGACCGATGTGCGTAGAAAGGTACATGGAAGAGTTCCGGGAGAATAGGTAGGTGTACCGGTCGGGAATGCTTTGCTAAATCGGTACCCCCCTCGGTTCTACGGGACCAACGGCAAAAGCTGTTCAAACTTGTCATTTGTCCCAGCTTTTTGCTGTTAGCGCCTACTAATGCAAACTATTCTACTTTTTCTTTTTGCTGGTAGCGAATGCGTGCTAACCCCTCGAATAAGTGTACTACATAGGTACCTACCTAATGTATCAGAAGTCCATCCTTGACAACATTAGCCCTTAAGCTTACCTATGTAGGTACCTATGCATGTACAATACATACATGTATAAAAGGAGGAAATTGGGCTTGACCAAATCCTAGCGAGCACAGCCACTGTCGTTATCCTATTGAATATGGTAGTCCACTTGGCAAACCGGCTTAAGGTGACTTAGTAATTTTCAATTCGATCACCGTCGAAACGGCGGATTGCTCTAAGAATCCTACCTCATCTATATACTCGTCTACATCTCGGATTCAATATTTCTCCTAACCCCATCGCTTACACTACTATTCACTAGCATTACTCGAGCGGGACAACACAATACCTAGGAGGTGAGCATGTGAGCTCAATACGCTTTCTTGGGTTTGCAATCTGAGCAATCTGATAATGCCGCAGTGTACTTTTGCTGAGTGGTGTTGTTGTTTAAGAGGTCCATGTGTCCTGTCCCTCCGGCATCTTCCGCACATACATGCCCAGGTATGTATGTAGGTTTGTATATGTATATGCATACGAGAATTTACTATGTACATATGTATGTGGTCCCATTCTCCCATCAGGGCCAGAGGGCACGGAGTCACGGACAAGTATGTTGATTCGGGCGCACGGTTTCAACCGCGGAAAGTCGGCGCTATAGAACCGCCGACTTGTTTGAAACTGGGGGTTCCCATGCGTTACCCACCTATCACCCGTTTAGCGTTTAGATCCGGTACGGAATACATAATCGGTAGTTTATCATCGGAGACCCATGGTAATATTCGCGAGCCATGCCAAATACGGGTTAATGCATGAGGCTTAGAGATCCCATCGAACTTTGAAATCTCAGCTGGACAGGGAACCCTTTTTTTCTCATGGAAGATGTATTCGCACGGGCGCAGCAAAAGTCAATTTATACATACATACATATTACGTCCGAAGTTTAATTGCGGACCAATAACTTAATACTAACAACATTTCACAAGTAGCCAAGCACCTAATAAAGGACCCTTATTTGCTCATACCACAAACGACATACATATCTATATGCAAGAGTCAAAATCGTTCAGATGTTATGAGTTATCTTGTGGCCGAGTGCGCACACGTACTACAATAATGGCAAACGGTATAAAAATAGCTACCCATCCCAGCTGTCATGATGAGGCTGTTTCATTTTGATCCGATTGCGCATCTCCCCACTGGAGTTTCAGTTCGGCATTGATCTCGATTTTTCTAGTTTATACCTAATAAGTTTATACTTAATATTTCTTGATATAAGGTTGAATGGGGCAGCGGTCATGTTTTCTCAAGTCAGCTAGAAACTCCGAGGATAGAAGGGGGCCTGATTTAACTACACCTAAATTTGGTGAAACCCCCTTTTTGGTAAGGGTCACAATAGCAACATCATCGATCATTATACGTGGTGAGTGTACGAATGCTGCACGTAAATGGATAAAAAAAGATGTTTGTTCATGCCGGAAACCAGCTGAGTAGCTGGGTCATCCGAGGCATCTGAGGCATCTCTTCTCGTAATGGGTAGATGGTGACGAGGCATGTTTACCGCAGTTATATCTCCTGGACAAACACGGAAATCAAGCCGAGGCATATGTCTCTATGCGAAGTAATTAACATTAACACAGCCTTACATTGCAACGGTCCAAGGGCAATGCCCGAGGAAGACAATATACCTGGGTACCCAGCGAATAGCCAACATTAGGTTTTTTAATCATTCATGTTGGGTAACCTCGATGTTTCTTTAAGGACCACTATTCCTAAAATCTACAACCTTAACTTAATCTTGCACGATGCCCGGGGTCTTTTTCACAAGCCGTGTGGCGCGGTTTATGACTGTGGCGATTTATTTCTCGTATTTGTGGCTGTGCTATTTTACTAACACCGGTCGTAGTAATCCATAGTTGCGATTCTTGAGGAATCCCCAACTACCCAACCGTACATGATCCTAAATGAAAGCAAGATGGAGCCCATCGCAAGGCTAGGTATCATTAAGCAAGGCTATCATTATCATATGTTGAAGTGAGGGCTCTCACGTGCTGAGGTCCAACCTTATGCGTACCTTACTTTCGACTTGAACTCAAATTGTATGGCACGGACAACTTTAAGCTGATAGGGTCAATGCACACTTGAGTTTTCGATTTGATTCCAAATGTAACCTAGAAATGATTTTCAAGTTCCGATATATGTGCTTAAGGGTTTAGATTTTCCAATTGAAGAGAATATATATACCTGGTATATAAGGCTAAAGGGGGGTAGTATCTTGAGGAGCTTAGTTTGAAAAGTTGATTCGCCTTTAGTAGCAGGTCTTAAATAGCGATATTGTGACTGAGAATATTAACATACCTACGACTTTACCCCGAGTCGCAGGCTCTTGTTGGGTGACGGAACCAATAGTAGTAGCTAGAGTACTTGTCAAGCTAAGCTGTAGGTAAATTGCTAGGTTAAAGATATGAAATTTTTGGAAATTTGAGAACTTGAAATGGTATAAAATTATCTTAACCAATCAGTGTTCACTACGCAGGTCAATTAATGGTGTTAGGAGGCTGTTGCAATGACGGGCGAGATTCGTGGGGTAGTTATCCTACATAAACTATGACTATCAGAGGTAAGGGACGTGCTGTTGTGTAATTATTATAAGCTGGAAAGGTCTTAGCAAGTAAATTTCTTGAAAGGCTAGCTGATCTTATACTCAAAGTGTGCGAAACGGTCAAGCGATAGAATTGCAGAGACAACTAAATAGAAACTCAGTATCTTGATAGCGTATTTCCTACCTAATATATGAGTATATTTAGTTTACAATTCGGTCGAGTTTAGTAAATAAGATGGCGATGAAATAGTCTTTACAAAGCGGTAGGTCCAAGCCTAGGGGCATATATAAACAGCACTGCCATGTTATCCCAACCCACCGATACTCGATTCCAACAAAAAAAAATCTATTCAATAACCCCTCTGCTTTCATTCCTGGAGGACACTTATCCAGTAATATTATCCCAGGAACACTACATATCAGACTATTTCTACATCCGATCACTTACTATGACTTCCGCCCACTCGTCATCTGAGAGGGCTACGCCCCTGGATTTCTGGATCGTCACTAAGATTGATGGAGTCTACCGTCCCCTCGCCGGCGTCCGCCGGAACCGACCCTATAAAAAGGGGTTGGAAGTGCCTACTAAAGAAGGATCAACTCCATTCTGGTGGATAATAACCATCTTCTCCGACCCAGCGAATCGTGTCGGTATTGAAGCCGAGCGGGCTATGGCTATAGACTTCTACCGCGCTGGCTTTAAATCGTGGGTGTTAATATTGCTGTATGAAGAACCCCCTAACTTGTCGAATAGGTCCGTTGTTGTTGAACACCAATTCCCTTTTATAGTGGAATGCTTGTTGCTAGGTGTCTGTCACCATCGTTCAAATGATCTTTACAGGCAAAATACTAAGCCACTGGTGTTTATTGACTCAATATACAAGCCAGAATGGCGCCCAGGCAACACGATTGTCTTTGACATTACTAATTTAGACGACTTGCGCGGCGGTATAATATTGCCTGGCGTCATGACAACGCAGCCATACCATTTATTTTCCGCCTTCGATTTCGTAAAAGAATTCGGCTACATCGATACTATTGGAGATATACGAACGTTAGAGCATTTGAAGCCAATAGACCCGTTAGTTGTAAATTGTAGGTTTCTACTAACATCCCATCACATTGAAGATTACCAACTAATATGAGCGGGACTTAAAGTCACCCAGATATCTAATAACGCGATACCTATTACACATATTATGGACCCATTAGGGTCTGTTTTGAACCAATTCGTCACAGCTTTGATCGAAAGAACAGTATTTGTATATGTCTTTGATGAATGCATTTTGGGTATCCTTCGAGGCCTACCTAATTTGAAGGATCTATTACAACGACACTTATATCTATCAGGATCGCTTGGTAGAACGCGCTCGGCTGGACAATTTATAGGCCTTGCTTTTGCCGAGGAGACCCACGTTGACCTGGTCAGGTTCAGGGGCATATCCGTAGAGGCTCTCGGATTTGCGTTCGAGACAGGAGATATGAGCAATACGAGATCCCTCGCCCTTTGTGTCGACAGTGTCCGAGGCTTAGGAATAGCAAGGATGGATGCGGAATTAATCATAAACGCAGTATCCAAGTTACCTTCCTTACGGCACCTGTACTGTTTCCTGGAGCCGGGGCGAGATAACTGTACGTTGAGCAGGGAGCTTTATAAGCTTGTCATGAATAGATCGGACCTGTTGCAGCGCATGGAGGTCACTTTTAATGGATCATTCTCTTTGTCGTTGAGAGAGATGCCCTGGGTCGGATCCCCTTACCCAGGTCACCTAGCCTCCGCATGTCACCCGCCCTCTGGAGTGGTCCCTATTCAACACATGTTTATGCGTCGCTGCCGACCAGCCGAACCGAGCCGAATCAGCAATATCGATTGGACCACCTCATACTACTTAGCACACGGGCTACTCAGGCCGGAGGCATTTGCGGCTAAGTTTTTACGCTATCTTTGGCAACCACCTGGCCGCCTAGCCGCCTTTTCCGCAGGACCGCCGTCTCTAACAGACATGTCTCGCATTGAGATTCGCCCCCTACTAGAATGGAATAGCTTGCAGGGCATTTCACAAGGAGCGTGGGTCTTGCTTCTGTCGATAGAAGGGAAAAGTCAAGTGCAAGCGGTGAAATATGCTCTTGTACGCATGAATGGCAACTCCTATAAAAAGTTCACCGCTTACGGAGCCAGCGTAACGCCATCTGAAATCGACGTCGTCGGGCTCAAAGAATTCCTGGCAATTTCGGCACCGGCCGTGGATCCGGCCCTGGTAGATCGATCGCTGGCAGAAACCACGAAACATATGGCGAGTTGGGTAAATGAGGCAGATCAGTCTCCAGGACTGGAGCGTTTGAGTGTTATGGACCTCTATGAAGCAGTTAGTATGCTGAACGGATGCTTGGAAAGCGCTTTTGACTTTATAGATTCTACTTCTTTAAGCAGATCAACGCAAGATCCTGCGTATTGGTACTTGCCGGCGCGTGGTGGGCGTTTGTGAGTTCTAAGGGAGGAACCTTTTTTTATTTTATAGATATATCCTAGATGTTTGATGTATATTGGTCTGGGTCTCTCAATCAGACTCTACGCAGGCTCGACAGCGCTGTTATCAAATATAATCACTAGGTATTCTGGAATAAATACTAGTGCTATCTGCGTATACTCGACGACCGCACCCTAAAGGATGCTGCGCTTTAATTAGGGATTAGCCCTGTAGATGGGTATTGATCCGAAGTACTCACGAACAGGCGTGTTTCTCTCTTATTTTGGGGTATTTTTCAACACTCATAATATTACTGGAATACCGTTGTTAATTTCTAGGAATTCACCATTTCTGTTGTATAGCAATACGTCTAGGCGCATGATAGCCTTCTTGACATATCCTACTCATGCAAACTTCGCGAAAGCGGCTGCACGAAAATCGAGTCCGGCCAGTCTTCACTCGACAGCCCCCAGTCAGCCCTCAGCTTAGCCAGCCATTCCGGAGCACTGCAAGTCACAGCCGCCACCTCGGAAGCTTCTCGATCCCGGGGCAGCAGGGGGGTTTGCACAACCCGCTTACAGGCCCGCACGTATCTATCCACGTCCCATCTTGGCAGGCGAAGCCATTCGTGGTGCGGATTGCACACGTGCCATTGTCCGGCCGGGGATGCCTTCAGGTTGGCGAGGCAGCGGTCGCAGAACCCCGTGCCGTAGCAGAACTTGCACGGGTTTGTCGCGTTTTCAAAGCCCCAGCGCCGGCTCTCGCAACCGTCGCACGTGTAGTGGAAGCCCTGCTGTATCACCAGCTCGTGCGCCTCGAGGAGCGAGCGCGCGGCGAGGTATTGCTTGTCGAGGGGTCCTTCGTCTTTCTCTGCCGCTAGTCTGGCCAGGTTGCTCGCCTCGTCGATTAGGAGTTTGATCGATTTTTCTGGGTCGTGTTCTTGGTGAATATCGGAGTTGAAGGCGCGTAAGATCTCTCTGACTACGGGTTCGCTAATGGATTCCTCGGATTTTAGTAGTGCTTCTAGGATATCCGCGTTGATTACGGCTGGCGCTAGTTGCCAGAATGCTGCCGTTGAGTTCTGCTCGTCGCCGGTGTAGAGCATGATGCCGGCGAGGATAGTGTATCCCTCCCAGTCGTTTATAGACGTGTTATCGGAGAGCATCCGGAAAGCCGTCCCCATGTCAGATAGGAAGACTTTCCTAGCCTTGTCCTTCTCTTTCCGCGATGTGTAGTAAGCTGCCAAGTAGCATTTAGCAGCAGACATACCTGGGTTGATCTGATATTGCTCGGTCACCAGACGCTCTAGCTCTACGACATGTCTTTCGCTTTCTGGCGTTTCCCTCAGCTTTTCGAAATGGTGCGAGCTTAGCACCCGGCTTGCTCTGCTGAATATGCGAACTTGATCCCAGCGCCACGTCAGGTTCTCTCTAACGACAAGGCAGCATTGCTCCCAGAAGCTCGGTGCTAACCTTGCGGCGGACACGTCGATATTCCCGCGATGGTATGCAGCTAGACCTTTGTAGAGCAAGAAGTGGGACATATGATAGTAGTTCCCGTCCGCTTTAGTATCGCTGATGGCAGTCTCCAGATCCTGTAAGAGGATATCCAAAGAGCCTACCGACTCGCAGTTGCGGATAATATTCCAGAAGAAGGATGGATATGGCTCTTCGTCTTCCTCCTCTTCCACGATGAATTCCAGCATAGGCCTGAGCTCGCTTGGGTCGCATGCCGCAGCTTTGGATAGGATCTGTTGAGCCTCCGTCTTTTTCTCGTGTTTAAGGTACTGTCTCATTAAGAGACACTGCGCCTTCGTATTGCTGGGGTCTATATTGTAGGCAGCTTCGCAGCAGCGTAGAGCGTCGTCTGGTTGTTGGAGGCTGTCATGCCATCCTGCGAGACGCATTCGAATCTCAATCAAGTCGGACTTTCCGGACTCTCCCTGGCGCTCCAGTATTTCTTCAGCCTTCTTCATGATAATACACGCATTAACTACGTCGTCTTTATGATAGTAACATACGGCTGAGCCTTCGAACGCTGTCCAATTTGCGTCAGGCATTTCAGCTGCCGTTATGAAATAGGCATGTGCTTTTGTATAATCCCCCATGTTTCTAAACGTCTCTCCCAGTCGCTCGTACCATAGTGATTTACTTTCTGGAGGTCCAAGCACAGTCTCGGCCCATTTCTCAGCCATTTCTACTGCTTCCAAGTCTTTGTCGTAACGCGAAGGTTCTGCTGATTCGCCAGCATTCGTATCGTTCGACGTTTTGTTCTCTTTTCCATCGCCGTCGTCATCGTTCTTGGATGTACCCTACTTCATATTAATTACATATATAACTTAAATCCTGATATAAAACTTGACTTACCAAGGAAAGAAACCCGCGTATCCAGTCGAACGCAACAATGGGTGTCCCCTTTCGAGTTTGCAACCAAATGCGGGCTATATGTGTCAAAAGGGGGGTGAGTAGTTTACGGTCGGGATTTTCGTCTGATCTCGCTTCAACCAAGAGCTTCTTGTCATTTCTCGATAAGCTGCTGATGGCTACTGGGTCTTGTAGCCATTTCCAGAACACCGATATTTGCTCGGGGTTTCCAAACCATATCACCGCTTCACAGCTATCCCAATGTCTTTCAATTATCTCTACATCGTCGAAGAGGTCATAAATTCCCTTCCCAATATCCCTCTTGTCATTTGGCCCAATGACGTCTAAGCCGGTGGCTTCGTGCAAGACTTTGAGATGGTCTGGAAGATAGCGTAGCAAATACTGGCCGATAGGTTGGGTCCTTGAATCTACGGGTCCGCGAAGGAACTCGAACGTCAGTTTCACAACATCGAGATGGGAGTCAACCTCATTGACTTGTATGTGGCCCTTCGGGGAATTTGAGTTGCCTGAGCCTTGTTGGAAAGAGAATTTCTCCAGGGTTGAATAGGTATTGAGATCCCATAGAAACCGTTGAACGGTCGTGCGGTTTACGTTGGTAATGGTGATAGTAGCGCTGATCCTTGGCGGATCGTCTGTCATCCGAGGGGTTTCTCGTTGCTTCACCACGCAATCGGCAATCTCTTCATCTTGCAACCTGACTCGGCTATCTGATCCTACTTTGAGTACCTTCGAGAACTTTGTGTCGATATATCTATCAAGTCGTCCGATAATGTCTCTCTTAAATCGCAGGAACTAAAGGGGTCGAAAGTGTTAGCGTAAGATATCATAGTTGGAGCTATAGAAGGTCTTTCCAGCTCTCGGCTCTCTATTATATGAAGAGCTTGGGTACTCACAAACGCAGCTTCTAACTCCTCAATCGTGAGAACCCGTTTCCCGAAGATAACCCACGCGAGGAGTTCATTTATTTCATCCACCTGTCTACCTTTCAATTGAGCCTCCAACTTGTTAATATCCTCCTTCAGTCTTGCTATAGGGTCCAAGCTAAACCTGGCTAGGAGCTTCATAAGTTCTGCTTCCGATCCACCTGACGATACGAGCTCTTTGATATCGCTAAGAGCTTCTTGGATGGTGTAGAAGCTGCAATCCGGTTGCTCTAGAAGCATCCTATGAATCTCCTTCTTCTGGTAGAGAGTTTTCTGGTCTCGACCTTGAAATAGTTCCGCAGTCTGAAGCTCGTGGTTTAGATACATACGCATCTCTCCCTGGATATGGTCCATAACCTCTATAGTAGATGGTGGGAGCCGGTCTAACTTGATAAATCCAGACTCAAAGAACTTGGGATGGCCACACACGAGGATCTTCACCGACCCTGAGTCATTCTCGGGCAGTAATGTGTCCTGCAAAGTCCCTATCATTTCCAGCAACATGTCTACTTCTTTCACGGTGAGATAATCGAGGCCGTCGAAAATAATAAAGTGCGTCGTCTTCCGCATCGGAGAACCGAGTTTCAGGACATTCCAAAGATCCATGCATTTTGCGTTTTTGAAGAACTTCTCATCCTTTGTAACGTCAGAGCAAGCACTGGATACAATCTTTGCATGTGCGCTGTCTTGCTCGACTAGTTGTAGGGCCAGTGACTTCAAGGCAGTCTCTACCGGTTGCCTATCGTCGCCACTTTTTCCCGTTCGAGCGGGAAAGAAATGATATGCTACCAGGCATTTGTTGGCTGATTCAGTCGAACTATACTTTGACTGCAGATGATGGATGATGGCGGAAACGGAAAATGTCTTTCCTGAACCTGGAGGCCCGGTTAAGAAAAGAAGAGGACTTGAGCCTTCACGAGAGCTATCAGCCCAGTTCGTATAGCTTTTGATCTCCTTAAACCAGTTCCCACTTCTTGGATGTGTACTTTTCCATATATCTTCGTAAGTGGTCTTAGAAGCGTTTTGTTCCTCGTCTGAGATGCCGATCTTGGCTTTTATCTTGGAAAGATACTCTCTTGTCGCCTTCTCCGATGTTCTTTTCTTCTCTGCATCTGTTAGGATTCCTACATTGGCTTCGATATTCTTCACGCGCCCTCCAGTATCACAGGCTTTGGTCAATAGTTCAACAATACCCCTATCGCTTTTCATAATGAATTCAAGCGCGACGGTATTCTGTATATTCTGCTGCTGCTGTACGAAGTCTTCAAACTGCCTGAGGCCGTCGGCAACCTCTTTATTATCGAAAAGGACTCGTTTCGTCTTTTCCTTCAGATTCTTCCATCTGCCGCCATATTGAACATTTATGCACAGAGCGCAAATGTCTACGAAGCAAATCATAACTTCGTGAACAGATTGGAGTAAGCCTTCATCAATCATATCGAATTTTTCGATTCTCGCATAGATTCTAAATCGCGAGAGGGTCGGACCTATCTGTGCAAATACGTCCCTGATTTCTCCATGCATGTCACTAATATCTTTCGGGACATCTAGCAACAGAGAGATGGCTTTGAAACAGAGCTCTGCGGGTGGGAATACCTAGAGCAACCTTTAGTATTCGTAACAGTATTGTAGCAAGGATATAATCTAACAATCGAAGCCCCTAGCGCAGCAACTCCTCCTAACAACTTCACGCACGATATTATATTCATGCCTATTTTCTTCGCTTGCGAAGTTCTATATGTTTCTTGCTCGTCGTTCTTGAATAATTCATCGAACTTTTCTTGGAGAATTTCTGGGGACTTAGGAATGTTCGCTAGGAGTTTTTTACCTGTAAGCTCCTGAAAGCGTTTCATTTCATCCTCCCACATCCCCTGGAAATGAAGTTGCCCTTTAGACATCTTTGAGATTGAATGTGCTGTCTCTTTGAAGGTCTAAGCGAGTTGTGGAAGATTAGATGAGTAGTCGAAGATGGAGATGGTAAGAGAGGGGGGTAACACTGAATCAAGTACCTACCTCTTATTCATTACCTACCTACACTTCAAATATCTCTTAGCCAATTACCTAGCTAGGAATTGCTGTAACATGATGTGGTATTTATTGGGGGCTTTTCAGCCGCAATAATTCATGTTTGAAACCAATATTACAACCCAATAGACGCATGAATAATACTGCTGTCTAGGATAATATTGTGATTGGAGCTGGTGACGATGTCGTCGACTAGGGTCTACCACTAGCGCTTATAGTACAGCCCCGGAGAGGCTGTACATAAATTTCGCTGCTGTCGGCTATTACTTGTGTAGACTAGATGTAGCTACCGTTCCCATGAGGGTCAACGGGGCTCTTGGATATACTATTCCGATCGTTCCCTAATCCAAAGTCCATGTTGACGTATTGGAAAAATGCTCACTATAGAATGCCTGAAAATTGGTTAAACTTAGAATAACAAAACTGTGTTGATAGCTTCGATCTAATTAGCTATCTAAAGAAGCCAACCAACTCCAACACTAACCCCTGGTATGACCACCGGAACGCCGTCGTCCATGATTGCAAGTACTGCGCTTTTACTGATATAGTACAGACGAAGAGATATACGAATAACATCTACGAGGACTTCTCCTTCTTCGACTTCTTCTTGCTCTTCTTCTCTGAACTATCATCCGAGTGCTTTCGCTTCTTCTTGGAGTCTGCCTCAGCATCGACTTTAGAAGGCGTAGCGTCGGCGGCCTTGGCTTCGGCCTTCTTTAACTTCTTCAGCTCTTTCTTGCTGACAACTTGGGGTGTTCCATCGGCATTCGTCTTCACATCACCACGCTCGTACTTGCGCTTGAACTTAGAGACCGAGATGCCGGCTTCCTCTGCTAGTCGGACATAGTCGGCCTCAGACAGCTTGGCGGGTTGTGTAGGAGTAGCCTCAGCTCCATTTGTAGCTTTCTTGCTCTTCTCTTTCTTTGCCGAGTGCTTTTCTTTCTTCGGTGTCTTCTGTTTTGACTTGGCTGCTTGTTTGTTAGCTAATGTTAATATACGTTGACGCCGCTTGTAATGCAAAGGGAGTATCTAAAAGCACTTACCACTTTCGGTGCCGTTCATGTCTGCATCAGAATCCCCCTCCTCTTCAGATTCATCCTCGCTCTCTGCGTCTCCCATTGGGGTATCTTCAACTTCTTGGATTAAGGGCTTGCTAGGTGTCTTCTTGGCCGACGTAGCAACGGCATCAGCATCGGCATTATAGCCTCGTGTCGATTTAACCTCAAATTTAGATGGCGTGGCGCCGTTGGGGGCAATCTTGGTACCCTTAGATACCAACGGCTTGCCTTCTAGCTTCCGTAGTTTATCTTCCAGTAACGCGCGGAGTCGAATACCCATGTCGGCTCTCTCCTCGTCGTCCACCAGGATATCCTCGCCATCAGCACCCTCGGTGCTCAGCTCGGAAAGAGCATCGACACGCAGGCACAAAGCAGCTTTAGCAGACAGTGTACGCGCGATCTTGCCCTTATTTTTTCCACTGGCCTGTCCTACAAGAGATGAGTGGTAGATGAGACCGTATTTGGGAGTATCATGCTTAGTCTTCAGAGCACGGAAAAGAGCCTTCTCCGCACCCAGAATCTGGATAGTACTACCGGGGCTCTTTGCTAGCTTCAGAAGCGAACCGGTGTGCGCGATAAGACGAGCACCAACGAGCTCACCAAGGAGTTCTGTCAAGTTGGGAGCAATTGCCTTCATACGCGATGTCAGGTACAAGGAGAGTTGCTGTCGGTACTCGGTAAAGCTGATCACCTGCTCGGCAAGGAGCTTGATGTTCTCCAAGTCAAATTCGAGAATTTCAGTACCCATACTGACTTCTGCAGCTGCCTTGACGCGAGTTTCGATATCCTCGGGCAAGATTTCGGAAAAGTCGGTGTTGGGAGCGTTTTCTCGCGTTCCCATAACCAGGATAATGCGAGCATAGGCAAGGTTGTCTTGCACAATACGGTCCAACTCGGGGAAATGCCATCCATACCACTCCTTGACACGCATAGCATAGTTGTTCAGCTCCTTATCTAAATCATCGAGAAGTTTGATGGCCTGAACAATCATAACGTCTACCTTATCGGGGGAGAACTTGAGCTTGTGGCGAGAAATAGAGTGCGACAGGGCAAGTGCCATGTTTCCTAGGTAGTCGCTCTCTAGCTCGGGGAAAAGTTCAGGAAGATAGGTTTTAATGGCGCGGAAGAGATCATTGGTAGATGAATCAGACACTGGAGTGATATTCAACTGGGGCAGAAGGTTGATTGCGGCGCCCAGCTTTGGATCAGCAACAGCAAGCGACGCCTTTCGTTCCTCCTTTATATCGTCGAGTAAGTTTTGTAACATCGGGGTGACTTTGCCTTCGGTGAGGGCAGTGTATTCCCCTAAGGCTTGAGCCGAGTCCTCGAACTTGACCATCTTCTTGAGCGATAGCCTAGGTGAAACTGGTGAGCATGCGCTCTTGGCCAATTGATAGCAAGCAACATTAAGATGGTAAACTTACATCGAGTTGATGGCCTCAGCGCTGGAAAGCTGCTTCTGAACATCGTCTCGTGATAGTAACTTCTTGTCTTTGGCCTTGAACAGACCGTAGCTATCATCGCGTCAGTATAGGTTATTCGTGCGCACCAAGATGGGAAAGGCGTTCGCGAAAACTTACCCCGCAGGCGTCTCTGCGAGAACGAAGAGAGGCATGATTGCAGGATTGCAGGATGATTAGAACGATATAGGTGTGGTCCTGCAGAGCTCTCTTCGCGACGACAATGGTTAGTTTTTATGATTGGGAGAAATCTTGGAGCTATTGCTTGTGCAAAAATTTGTTCGAACTTTCGTCGAGAAAAAAATTGGGAAAGCTACAGCATAAAAGTGGGTACGGAATGTGGGAGCCAGTCAAAACGCAACTTAAGCTTAGGCCCCTGCACCTATTGTTCTTTAATTACATAACGCCATCTATTTCGATAAAAGAACCTTATCGTTATCTTAGTAAATATATCATCTTACACCGTATTAAGCATCCTTAAGCACCCTAGGTTGCAGCGCATGCAACAACGTGAAGAACTAAGCTCCAGAACATCAACTTTCTTAAGGAATATCCTTCCATCAATCAACAACAACAGCATATTCACCAACATGGAGGGCCTTTTTTTCAACGTTAACAATGGGTGAGTTTAGATTACTACGAGAAGCATTCTGATATATTGCTAAGAGCTAATGTGATTGGTGCAGTTACATCGAAGGCATTGTACGGGGGTATAGGAATGGCCTTCTAACTGGTGCTAACTATTCTAACCTGACGCAATGCGAGACCATCGATGGTATGCGCCCTATATCTACGTATAAATAAGTAGCAATTCATCTAATACTTCCGGCCAGATCTCAAGCTGCAACTCGGTCCTGCTTACGGCGATTTCCTCGCATCTCTCCCTCCCAATCCGTCCACTTCTAGCCTCGCCGCCAAAACAACCGACAAGCTCGTCTCCGAATTCCGCTACGTCCGCGCAAACGCTGTCGGGTCTCTCGCGCAGTTCCTAGACTACCTAACATATGGCTACATGATCGACAATGTAGCTCTTCTCATCACCGGTACCCTACACGAACGAGATACCCGTGAGCTGCTAGACCGATGTCATCCTCTCGGCTGGTTCGAGACGATGCCCGTTCTCTGCGTGGCAACCAACATCGAAGAGCTATACAACAGTGTGTTGATAGAGACGCCCCTAGCACCCTACTTCAAGGGTAGCTTGAGCCACCAAGACCTGGACGAGTTGAACATCGAAATCGTACGAAATACGCTGTACAAGAACTACCTCGAGGATTTCTACAACTTCGTCAACACTCACCCAGATATGACCGGCACCCCTACATCCGAAGTTATGAGCGAGATCCTGGAGTTTGAGGCCGACAGGCGAGCCATCAACATCACTCTTAATTCCTTCGGCACCGAGCTGAGCAAGGCGGATCGTAAGAAGTTGTACCCGAGCTTTGGCCGACTCTATCCCGAGGGCACGCTGATGCTGTCGAGGTCGGATGACTTTGAAGGTGTAAGATTGGCAGTCGACGGTGTTGCTGATTACAAGACTTTCTTCGAGGCTGCAGGACTGGGCGGTGGACCGTCAGGACCAGGCAATATGGCCGGTGGGGCCGGTGGCAACGAGAGAAGCTTGGAAGACATGTTCTACCAGAAGGAGATGGAGATTTCCAAGAGTGCCTTTACGAGACAATTCACATATGCCATCGTGTATGCGTGGGTGAAACTTAGAGAGCAGGTAAGTTGGCAGAATATCACCCCTAAAACTCGGCATCCCGTTTTGGCCTCTAACTTACGATATAGGAAATCCGCAACATCACGTGGATCGCCGAGTGCATAGCACAGAATCAGAAGGAGAGGATCGGCAACTATATCAGCGTATTCTAATTTCTCGCATACGCTTTTTGTAGAACTAATGGACGGGATACCAAGGAAATAGTGTTTAAAGCTGCGATTGTCACGGGTTTTTCTTTTCTTTTTTTTCTTAATGGCGCTAGGCTGATGGACAGACAGTTAGAGCTCTCGCGCGTCTCGAATAGCTGCTGGTGTTTGTTGCATTGTACATAAGCACATGTTATTACAGAGTATGCATCTAGGCCACCTATATGGTAACACTCCAAATAGCACGCACGTCCAGGAGTCTTACGTCGTGATTTGCTCCTTCCAGGTCGCCGGACTCAGACCAAGGGTCTTGATCATATGGTTCCACCTATCACTTCCCCTTTCCTTCCTGTCCATATACCGCAGTAACTTCTGTCGCCGATGGAGCATCAACCTTAGATCTCGCTTACCTACTTTATCCTTGTAGCCTCGCCCCTTCTCTAACTCGTTGGCCAAAGCCCGGATTTTAGCCGTCAGAATGGCGATCTGCACTTCGCTACTTCCGGTATCCGGACCGCCTCGCACTGGCCGTTCTTCCCTCTCCTGCCCTCGTGAAAGAGCCTTGGGTGTGAGAAAAAGATCGGTTTCGTGCCTCCCAAAAGTCTCCACGCACCGCCGGACATTGGCGTGCAGCCTATCCTTCGCGGAGCCGTTATCCATGTGCGTGATACGGTTCAAGGCCTCGATCGCCCTTGCGTGGTTTTTCTCGTGGCGTTCCACCTGATTCCGGTACTCTTCCGACTCAACAGGTGAGAGGTCCGTCGGGATCGGCCGCGTTAGCGTATAGGCGATATCGATGGCGGCATCCAGCTCCTCCTTGTGGATGAGGTTGTTTAGGATATGGTGCGAGGTAGGGAGCTCATGCGGCTCCTCCAGCGGGTTCCCGTCGTCGTCGACCGGCGGCTTAGACAGTAGGGCTTGGCCGGCAGAGTCGAAAGACTCGACGAAGGGGGTCGTGAGACCACGGATAGGATCGCCATGCTGCGCCTCCCTGACAGCTTCAATCTCCTCTCGCCTTTTTAGGTGGGCGGCCTTGCGCTGCTGCATCTGAGCCCATCGGTAAGGATCCTGTTTCGCCAGACGCCTCTTTTCCTTTTGCGACAGAGAGGCGGTTTGTGTAACGGGGAGGAGGGACGAAGTGGGCGGTTTTATGGCTGGTCGTAGACATACTGTGAAGCAATTGTTAGCCGAGAGTAAGTTACAGGGCAATTAAAGACTTTTTATTCTCACAAGAGAATGTGCCTAGGCGCTGCACGCCTGGTATTCGGGGCGGCATGGCGTCGCTATATTGGAGTGTTGAACTGCTAAGAATGAAATCAACTTTTAGCGGTCGATCCACTTTATTTCTCAGAGCTGCAAGACGGGATTGGGTTTTGGACCTTCCGACGTTGAAGATATCACGGAATGGATAAACACCTTTACCGCTAGAGGTGGTCCGAGCCCTCTGTTTAGGTACCTAAGTTTGGGTTGTTTGGTTTGGGTCGATACTTCGGTACTTAACCTATCGGCCTATCGATAATATTATGCGTAACCGCATGAGCTAACCAATCATCTTACCCCAATCGAGGCTAGCGTCTCCAAGCCCTAAGCTCTCGCACCAAATCACAATTCGACGCAGCTGAAATCTAACCGCGAACTTTTTCTGCTGGGAAATTCTACACCTCGACAAAGACGATCGCGCAACGCAAAGCAACTCTTCTTCCTTACCCTCATTACCCTTCTTTTTCGCAATCCTCTACAGATTTTGTGAGTTGCTCAATTTAAGTCAAGATGGCGCCCGCGAACTTCCCCGCCTCCATGCATGCGACGTCCCAGGACATCGAGCTGCTCTTAGCTGCTCAGTCCCATCTCGGTTCCAAGAACTTGCAGGTTCACATGGAACCTTATCTATGGAAGACCCGCGCCGACGGTGTCAATGTCCTCAACATTGGCAAGACCTGGTATGACGATAACATCCCATTTGCTTTGCGCAATTTGCGAAATATGGCCAGCTCACTGACCTGAATTTTCTTTTTCTTTTTTTCAGGGAGAAGATCGTCCTGGCCGCCCGTATCATCGCTGCCGTTGACAACCCCGCCGACATTTGTGTCATCTCTGCCCGTCCCTACGGACAGCGTGCCGTCCTCAAGTTCGCCGCCCACACTGGTGCCGTTGCTATCGCCGGTCGATTCACCCCCGGTTCTTTCACCAACTACATCACCCGATCTTTCAAGGAGCCCCGCCTGATCATTGTCACCGATCCCCGCACCGACGCCCAAGCCATCAAGGAGGCTTCCTACGTCAACATCCCCGTCATCGCCCTTTGCGACACTGACTCTCCCACCGAGTACGTCGATGTTGCCATTCCCACCAACAACAAGGGTCGTCATGCCATTGGTTGCGTCTGGTGGATGCTTGCCCGCGAGGTCCTCCGCATTCGCGGTACCATCGCCAGCCGTGATATCCCCTGGGACGTGATGGTCGATCTTTACTTCTGTATGTTATACCATCCTGAACAATATATTAGGAGTATACAAGCTAACATGCATACTTACAGACCGTGACCCTGAGGCTGAGGCTGAGGAGAAGGTCGAGGAGGAGAAGCTACCTGGTGCCGAGGAGGTTGGCGCCGCTGCCATCGAGACTGGTACATTCGGCGCCGCGACTGCTGACTGGGAAACCGCCCCTGCTGGCTTCGCCGCTACCCAACCCGGTGGCTGGGACGGCCAGACCGACGAGTGGGCTAACGCCACTGGTGCTCCCCCGGCCGGTGAGTGGGGTGCCGCCGCTGCCACCACCACTGAGGCCAAGGACAGCCAATGGTAGGACCAAAACGCTGCCGACGCACAACAGGTTCAGGGACAGGCTCAGGTACAGGAAGGGCAGGCGCAGCATCAGGGAGGTTTCGGATATCGATCTCAAACCATGGAGGATGTGGATTGGTAAATCGCCTCCGCACCATACATACACCACCACCATCGCGATATTTTAATTTTCTGCCGCAGACAGGACAGGAGAAACGCGGGTCAACTTGACCGTACTAATGAGGGAAAGATATCCGGGTTCGGGGGCTGGTCTACGAAGTCTTTTCTCGGTAGAAGTAGCTTATGCCTTTTTCCGTAGGAGACTGTTGTTGCCCGCCCGGGCTCGGGGGAATGCCCTGTGCAGTCAAAGGGGTGGACTTAATCGTTATCCCGCCCGTTTTCTCCTAGCTTTGCCGTAAGAAATAAAGAATTGCAAATGAACAAATTTGATGAGTCTTATGCGTAGATGTGTGAATGATTAGTAGAATATGGGATGCTAGTAAACGTTTATTCTTCTGACTTGGGATGATTGAATTATAGGAGCAGTTTCATTGAGTAGTAGGTTCGCTCAGAGGATCCTATTTACTTGCCTTCGAGGCCAAGGTTGAGATATACTATACGAAATACCCTCTAATGATAACGTTGGCTTCATAGTAGAAGATACCAAGGTCAATTAACACCAAGTAATATAGCAGAGACCAAAGTCGTTATAATACATCGGCGCTCACCTATATAGGTTAATAAAATAAAACCAGACAGACATCATCACAACATCTTCAGAACATGTCAAGTACACGATATAAAACAGGTAAGGGTATCTCACAAACATCTCCTCTCATAGTAGTTATAAGGGACCATATATCTACGGGGTGTGGTATATTTACTTCTTTCCTCTCGTCTCCTCTCCTCCTCTGCGAATAATTTCAACAACGGACGACAACAACATGCAGTCCTAGTCAAAAGGGGTATCTGAACAATTGGGCCGGAATCGAAGAGCGCGAACACATTACTCTCTTTCTCCTCTTCCATCTCTTCTCCCATTTATGCTTCTCCGCCATGCATATGTACCCTCCCCACCTATTCTCACTATCCCCTATCTTCTTTCTCTTCTTTCTGATGAACTTTTTGCTGTTCTTCTTTTTTTGACTGCCCCTCCTTGGTAGGATGATTTATTCATTAACATGAGTAATATAGAAAAGTATAAAATAAAAAAAGATGAATGCATCGCCTAACTCCGCTGCTATTGATGAAAATGGATGTCCCCATCCTGTCCTGTTACTCCTCGCCGCTACCAACTGCAGCCCTTTCCGTGGCCCCTGCCGTATGATTCGCGCCGAACTTGTCTTTAAATTTGAATAATGTGGTGTAAAGGGAGAAAAATGTTACATCCAAGAAGAGAAATAAGGAAAATTTGCCTAGAACTGAGCAGACGACGGAATACAAAATTACATTCCTCCTATGCTATAACCTATCCCTCCTCACTAATATGCAGCGACCAAAGGCCTCTAAGGCGTATCGTGGTATCGTAGAGTATTATATAATAAGGGCGGCGGAACCTGTGTACTAATACAATGGTGATCTCATGCGGGCCAAGTATCGTCTATGATGATTGACACTAAATGAAAAGAGCATGTAAACGATGGTGATATCGATCATGGATAGGTGATATACAGATATAAGTTGGACGGTCTTGGCGGGTGGGCTCTGACGCCGGTAGTTTTTTTTTGGTGTAGGCAGCACTGTTTTGTCTATTCGAGACTTGCCGAATGCTTTCTGATGTCCTCGTCACTTAGAGCACTCATCCAGAGACATCGCTCGGTAATACCTTCGATGGGCTGAAACTGATAATGAGTGCTAGCTTCAAGTAGACGAAGCAATGTCTTCACCACCGAGGCAGCGATACGGCAGCGCTCAAAATTGACCAGAGGCGCTGTGGTCGGCGAGCTAGCAATCTCAGATGGTCGTTGTGAGTTATAAAGCAAGTCGTGGATATAGATACCAACGAAAGGAATGCATCCCATATCGGCAGCATCGCCAGGTCCCTCCATCTCGGCTCGTATATTGTAGAAGTTTCTTGTTGGCGAAACTAGCGTCTCCAGGTCTCTCATAGTCTTTAGATCAGTGGGTGGAACCATAGCCCAAGTCCTAGCGAGCCTTGCCACTTCGTTCGATGTCAATGCGATAGTGATCTGGCTCATTGTAGCAAAGTTGCGATACTTTCTACAATGGACAGCGATATGGAGAAACTTGATGATGCAGCGGGCTCGCTCTTCCACATTTTGGGTCAGTACAATTTCCGAGATTACCCACTTGACCATGATGTTAAACCGCGCAACAACAACTTCAACACCATGAGCATCTGTGTTCCGAAGGAAGTCAACCCACGACCGCGAGTCATTGTTAGAGTTTTTCCAACGCATGTCAATCAACTCCCTCCAATCGACTTCATTCAATGCGTCCTTCTCGATCAAGGTAAACTGCTGAGCGAGAATCTCGGAGTCGAAGGCGAGAATAAAGGGCAAATGTGCTGTGTTTTGCTTTCCTTCGCTGGATAATCTAGGCGCGTTACGGAGCGCCTCTTCGGTGCCAGTCGGATCCTTGTGCGATTCAGAACCGTGACGGTACATTGCAGTAGTAGGTGTGGTATCAGGGGTAGGCGGTAGTGGTTTCTGAGCCCACAGCTGATGCTCGTGAACTTGTGGGACATGCTCTACATCCGATGACCCCCGAGAGGCCTGTGTGAGTGTCATGGGAGGGGACGGGGGCTTGTCTCTAGATGTAAAAGTAATTCTGCCCTCCGTATCAAGAGATGTTCCGGTATTTATAGGACTAGGTCTCTTGGGTGAATGTGGTTCTCCAAAAATGTAATCTTCCGTATCAGGCATTTCACCCGACATTTCGGACGAGAGATCAGAGTCATTGTCACTATCCACGTCTAGGAATAAAGGGTCTTCGGGGGTAGTTGCCCCCGGCATTATCTTATTAATGCTTTCCGTTTTTTGTACAAACTCGTAGGACGGATGCTGCGAGACGGGTATTGATCCGTCTTCTTCTCCTTGCGGCGTGTCGGGGCCTATTAATATTGAGTGATTTGCCCACTCACCAGTAGCTGTTTTGCTACGCCCATCGTCTGTCAATCCACGATCAAGTAGCGGGATTGAGTTATAAGTCTCTCTCGAATCTTCCGATAGGAACGAAACTACCTCCGAGGCACGAGAAAGTGTTGATTGCCCATTGAGTGGAATATCAAAATTCTCCTCTAACGGTGACACAATGCCGTTTTCTTCTTTGTCGATGTGTTGTTGACGGTGCTTTCGCTTCTCTTCTTGGACGTACTCTACCTCGGGAGTTCTAAGGGATCTTCCTTTGAGTTCCTTAAGATTACCAGGAGGCAACTTCGATGGTTCCATTGAGAGCTTAGCAATTCTCCTCTCGTATTTTCCCTCGAGTTTGAGAAGTGCTGACTCGACTCCTCCATCATCATCCACATCATCAGGGATTTGCGCGAGCTTTTGGGCTTCGGCTTCGAATGAGGGTCGCATGATTGGTTTCGATGAGTGGGTAGTAATTAGAGACATTGGTGGCTTTGAGGATTGTTCTGCCATAGCTCCTAAGGAGAAGATCTCTCCTCGCTTTTGCGAAAAATTGCTACTAACGACATCGACATATCCGCTCGAGTCTCCGATAGGGCTACGTAGGTAAGAACTCCTGATGGATTCCGAATAAGTTGTCAATGAGCCTACGGACCGTGACCTATGAAGGGGAACATCCAGATCGTGGACATTAGTTACGCCTCTGAGGTCACCACCTGGTCGTCTGCGGAGAACTCTTAGTGGCGGAGGCATAACTTCGGATGATACTGAGCCTTCCGAGTAGGTGGTAGCGTCGAAACTCCTGATCGTAGACTGCGCTGCGATGCCACTCTGAAAAGATGCCCATCGTCGATGAGCAGTGGATCCTCTCGACCGATAGCTTCGGCTTGATTGTTGGCGCTGATGCCGATTTACGTAGCTCAGTGGGGGCCTTCTGGGTGACTGTGCAACGAACTTGACTGACGCACGAGTATTGGTATTGGTATCCTCAGAAGAATTTCCCTGGCCTAATGTGTCCATATCTGGGACGAACGGGGGTAAGGGGGTAGTAGGAGTCGAAGACTGAAAAGCATGCTGCCCGAGGAGATAGGAAGACCTCCTCGGAGTACCACCATGTACTGCATGTCCAGGCGGCGTAGTTGGTGGTGTTAGATCAGCAGCGCCGGCCCTCATCATGCTCTCTGCAAAAGCTTCAACAGAAGGGTTCCAAGCCGTCAAAGCACCAGTCATAGGTGGGTAGTCCCCAGGTAACGTTCCATCTACAATAACTATAGACTTGCTTCCTGCTGTGATTGCACCGTCACTCGTACGCTTGAGCTCAAACGAAGAGTCCAAATGAGCCGGCGAATATTCGATAGGATCATTAGTATTGCCGACGTGACCATCATCAGTCACTTCTTCGACAATGGCATCCTCCCGCACAGCTTTCTTGAAATCCTCAGCAATTGTAGCGCCAAGGACATCAATACGCACAGGCGCACGAGGGCCATTCAGACGAGGCGATCGCGCCTGTGGTACAACTGCCGTTCCTGGAATCCTATTGGTTGTAGCACCCCGAGCTCCGATAGGTACGATGTCGATGAGATTTCCTTGAGTCGGTAAAACTCCCTGGCCCCTCATACTTAACGCTCTCCGAACACCGCCAATTAATTTCCTCATCCCCTGGCCTGACATCGCCGAACCGGAGCTTTTTGCCTTTGGCCCTTCGGTGGGGTGAGGTTGGAAGACGGTGGTTTGGCGTGCCGTTCCCCATGGGCTCGGGGGATCTACATCGACGAAAGCTTGCGTGGGAGGCAAGACATTTCCTCGGACAAGACTACCAGCATATGGCAGAGTTAGCAGGAATTCCGCGTTCTTGTAAACAACCTTTTCGGTAACTGAGCCGTGTTCTCGGAGCGAGTCTGTAAGGCTGTTGTTGCGCCTATGAGAAGTATGAGGCCTAACACGCTTTCCTGTCAGAGCACGTGGAGTAGGGGCAACAGGATCCGCATTGGTATAAATTGAGCTAGGATCAACAGGATGGGCAGCGAGGGTAGAAC